TAAATAACAAAACAACCAATTAAACGGATGATAAAGCTAAATAATCACAACTTAAACTCTCTAAGCTCAAATGCAACTGCACAGTATCTCACAACTCAAAAATACAAATTCCAAACTGCCCTCTCTGGTTGATGGGATCATTGAAGATATGCTCAATGAATCCTGTTGAAGATTGAAAAGAAATCTTCCTGGGGGGGAAGGGTGTCACAAAAAAACTTTTATTTTTTTTTTATTTTTTTTTAATATTTTTATTTATTTCTAGGAGAGAGAGAGAGAGAGACAGCGTGAACAGGGGAGGGTCAGAGAGAGAGGGAGACACAGACTCTGAAATAGGCTCCAGGCTCTGAGCTGGCAGTCAGCACAGAGCCCGACGCGGGGCTCGAACCCACCAACCTCGAACCCACCAACCGCGAGATCATGACCTAAGCGAAAGTCGGACGCTTAACCGACTAAGCCACCCAGGCGCCCCAACAAAAAAACTTTTAGATAGAAGCTTTCTTTCTTTCTGTCCGTCAGTCTGTTTTCTTTTTGAGGGGAGGGAAGAAACAAACACTGGAGGAAAAGACTATGAAGGAAGGAGGCTTTTAAGTGAGACTCTTAAAATAAAAGTACCAATAGTTTTCGTTCTTCTATGCTACCGAAAGCAACAAACACGAACACCGGCAAGCAATGAGAACTTTTATTCAGGTTGGCTTAAACAGTAAACCAAATTAGAGATCAAGGAAGATTCTGAGATTACAATGGTTTGACTGTACAGGACTCTCAAGTGGTAAAAAGGGTGTCAAGTAGGCACTGCACTTACTGGGTTGTCTCTGCATCCTGCCTAACCAAGAGTAAGAACTGCGGGCCAAGGAGGACTTGCATTGTGTGGTTGCTATAACCATGCATACGGAAGTGGAAGGCTCCTTCTTAATTTCTTCTTCTCAGTATATATGTTTTTAAATTTTATTTATTTCTTTTTATTTCAGAGAGAGAAAGCGAGAGCGCGTGAGCTGGGGAGAGAGACAGAGAGGAGCAGGGGGAGATGGAGGGAGCGACTCCTAAGCAGGATCCTATGACCCTGGGATCGTGAGCTGAGCGGAAATCTAGAGTCTGATGCTCAACCGACTGAGCCACCCAGGTGCCTCTAATTGAAAAGAAATAGTATAAATGAGCATAGATGTAATGACCTCACATATTTATAGTTTCTCATAGCACAGTTTTATTTTGTGAAATAAATGAAAATAAATTCCCACAGAATTCCTACCTACCTGCTCATCATCCCAAGGAATAAAAAGTCATTATAGGCCCTTTCTATCACTAAAAACTGTTAGAATGAATCTCTCTTCGTCATCTTTGGATCAACACCATAATGTAATGTGGTTGAAGTGATTGTTTTAGTCATCACTCGGAGAAATATCAGAGCCCTTTCTTTTCTTACAAGGAATTCAATGTAATGTTTCGTCTTAAGACACATTTGTACCAGTCAGAAATGAGCTAACAAGTATGATCAAAGAGCTTATCTGCTCAAATATTTCTATTACTTTGTAGAATTACTATTACTGAGATTCCCAATCCTTCTACAGGCTGTGTCATACGTTATGTGTGCATGTGTGCTACATAACAAAGACATGCCCCTTGTAAATAACCCCCTTGCATTAACGGACTTTATTTTTTATCTGAATTTGGCCGAGAGTTCTGGAGAAACAAACTTAACATAAAATAAACTGTACTTAACACACCTTAATTATAGCGCCGTATTTTAAATTTGTGTTTGTGTCCCTGCTCCTCTTACCTCCCTGTTACTTCTTATGGGAGGATTTTCCAGTTGGTGGAATTTTCATAACCATGTCCAGCCCCACACTCTCTGGAAGTCACAGAAGAGCGGCTCTGTATCAGGTAATATCAAGCAAAATCCCTGAATGACATGGGTCCTCTACTTACTATCACCCTGATAAAAGACTTCAGTAATCTCTGGCTTGGATTTAAATAGGCAATTCTTTTAAAAAAAATTTTTTTTTAATGTTTTTATTTATTTTTGAGAGAGACAGAGAGCGAGCAGGGAAGGGACACAGAGAGAGGGAGACACAGAATCCGAACCAGGCTCCAGGCTCTGAGCCGTCAGCACAGAGTCTGAGGCGGGGCTCAAACCCACGGACTAAGTCATGACCTTAGTGAGCCGAAGTAGGACACTTAACCGACTGAGCCACCCAGGTGCCCCTTCAATAGGCAGTTCTTTATTTTTATTTTTTTTATTTTTGAGAGAGAGATAGAGACAGCATGAGCAGGGGAGGATCAGAGAGAGAGATAGAGGCACAGAATCTGAAACAGGCTCCAGGCTCTGAGCTAGCTGTCAGCACAGAGCCCGATGCAGGGCTCGAACCCACGAACCGTGAGATCATGACCTGAGCCGAAGTCGGACGCTCAACCAACTGAGCCACCCAGGCGCCCCAATAGGCAGTTCTAAGTAAGCCTTCTTCCTTATGTCTTTGGGAAACAAGGCAGCATTTCTTTCTTCCCCCTCTGTTGAAACGGCCCATTACTACACAGGTCAAAAGCTTCTTTAAAAAAAAAAAAGTTTTTCAAAATGTTTATTTTTGAGAGAAAGACAGAGGGAGAGTGGGAGAGGGGCAGAGAGAGAGAGAAAGAGAGAGAGAGAGAAGGAGACACAGAATTCAAGCAGGCTCCTGGCTCTGAGCTGTCAGCACAGAGTGGATGCGGGGCTTGAACTCTTGAGCTGTGAGATCATGACCTGAGCTGAAGTTGGATGCTTAACCGACTGAGCCACCTAGGTCCCCCTGAGAGCTTCTAATAAGACATTCTAAACTAGAAGGAAGAAGATATCTAAATAACGACCGTGAGATGATAATGACATTCCCCATTATGTTCCCCAAACCATCATGTTTCTAAGTCTGCTCCAGTAAGAAAATGAAACCAGTCGCAAAGAGAAAGGGTGAAGAGGAGCTACACACAGAGAAAAAGATTAAAAATTTGGAATGCCAAACTACTGGGGTACAACCCTAACAAGGCATGTGTGTTGAAGAGAACACATGAAAGGTAGTCAGGGCAGTATTAACATCGCCTAAGTATGTTAGCCTGGTCATTAGTTTAATTTTCACATCCTTCAAAGCAGGAGGCTGCCCCCCAATTTCCACCTCCTGTGGCTTTCGGCTATTGGTTTCAGCATTTTAACAGATACGCACTTGCCTCCTACCAGGGCACTCAGTGTCTGGTTTAAATAGGCTTATCTCTCTCCTTAGCCTGTCCTGGAATTATGCCTGAGCTCAGTCTTGGTAGCTTTTTTGGATGAGGTATCTCATTGGAAAGTGTCGTAAGCTTAGCCACTCCAATACCTCTTTTCAAAATTTAGTTTGACCTTCCCACTATCTCCAGCAAAGTTAAACAGTCAAACTTAGTGTATGGTTCCTTTGAGCCTGCGTTGTAAACAGTGGCACTGAGGTGCTGCCAGATCTAAGTTTCTTAGCTCCTGGAGCTAAAATGAGAAATACAGGGTCTGTCGCCACCCCCGCCCCAGTTAATCCAAAACGCGCGTCTCCAAAAGCATCCCTCTCCCTTTCAACCGGTCGGTAGGTGAGTTGGAGAAGCCCTCTCCAACTTCTCGAGTCCTGGTTAAGGTTGCTAAGGTCAGGAAGCCCCTCGCTTTCGAGGCATCCACGACAAACTCAGAGAAACAAATCAGAAGCCAGGGGGCCAACGAGGAGACGTCGGGCAGGCGGCCTCTGGCTCTTTCTGGCCAACATCACTGCGCCTCTGCCAGACCCTCCGGCCCTCGCGTTCTACTCGGGAGAGGTGTCATTACATAATCCCTGCTCCACAGAGTCACTGGGGCTCGGGCTGTCCCACGTCCCCCTCCTCCCCCCTCCAGGGGAGGTCGGATGACTGCAGACCCTGCGGGCGTCGCGCGTCCCCTGGATGTGCGCTGCCTGCCGACCCGACTCGCCCGGCGCTGCGACCCCGACTCAGGCTCCCTCCCCTCTCCCATGTCCACTCGCACGCTGCGAAACCCGTCTTCGGGTCCCCCTCACACCCGCTGTCCCGGCCCCTCTCGGGGGTCCCTCCATCAGACCTGCTGTCCGAAGACCTCTCGGGAGCCCCCCCCCCCAGACTATCTGTACGGGTCCCTCTCGGGGGTCCCATCAGACCTGCTGCCCCAAGCCCTCTTGGGGACCCCCCGACTTTCTGTACGGCCCCTCTCGGGGGTCCCTCCATCAGACCTGCTGACCCAAGCCCTCTCGGGGACTTCCCCCCACCCCAGACCCTCTGTCCAGGCGTCTCTCGAGGGTCCCTCCATCAGACCCGCTCCCGGCCCTTCTCGGGGGTCCCTCCATCAGACCTGCTGTACCAAGCCCTCTCGGGGCCCCCCCAGACCCTCTGCCCCGGGTCTTCTCGGGATCCCTCCCATCAGACCTGCTGTCCCACGCCCTCTCGGGATCCCTCCCATCAGACCTGCTGTCCCACGCCCTCTCGGGCCCCCCCCCCCGGCCCCCCGCAGGCCCCTCCATCCGACTCACTGTCCCAAGCCCTCTCGGGGGACCCTCCCATCAGACCCTCTGACCCGACTCTTCTCGGAGTCCCCTCCCTTCACACCTGCTGTCCCAAGCTCTCTCAGGGTCCCCTTCCCCCAGACCTGCTGTCTCCAGCCCCTCTTCAGATCTGCTGTCCCAGACCCTCTCGGGGTCCCCTTTCTTCACACTCGCTGCCCAAGCGCATTCGGGGACCCTCCCTCCACTGGACCCGCTGTCCCAAGCCGTCTCGAAGTCCCTCCTGAGACCCGCTATCCCGGCCCCTCTCGGGAATCCCCTCCCCAGACCTGCTGTCCCAAGCCCTGTCAGGGTCTCCACTGAGACCCGCACTGCCCGCTCCTCTCGGAGTCCCGTCTCCCCAGTCCCGACAAACCGGCTCCCAAACTCTCCGCACTCGAGTCTTCCCCGACCTCACTCCGTCCAGGGTCCCTGCACCTCGGCTCACTCTGTCACCGTCCCGCGCCCCGGTGCTCTCACCTCAGACCTGCTGTCACCACTCCCGGGCCCGGCGTCGCCACCGCCGCTTCCTCTCGCACACTTGTTCCCGAGTCGCTCTTCTGCCGCTTGTCCCCCGGAGGATCCCCGGGTCGGGCCGCTGAGTGCCGGGTGGCCGCGCGGAGTCCCCGCCCGCGGTCTCGGTGTCGGGTCCCAGTCTCACGCAGGACCCCGCCGCCGTCGCCGCCGGCCGCCACACGGACCCTCCCGCGGCCGCCGCTGCTGCTGTCCGAGGTGCGGCTCCTGCCAGGGGTGGCCAATCGCACCCGACTGCGCAGAGCGCGCTCCGCCCCACGGTCTCATTCCGCCCGCCCCCTGCCCCCGACCACGCCCCCAGCTTGGCTCCGATAGGCTCTCTACTGACCTCTCCTGACCGCGGGGCACAGGCCTGGGGCCGGATATAGGTACTTGATTGGAGGTGCCTGGGTAGCAGAGCGGTCGATGGCGCCTGAGGATTGGCGGAGTTGACGGTGGGCGGGGCGGAGCAGGGCGGGGTTTCCTGAGACGCGGAAGACCTCGCAACTTCAGTTACCCTGCTGGCCCGCCTGGGGTGCGGTCAACCTTGTTTGTGCTGCGCTGGGGTCAAAGTTCATGGCACTCCTTTGCGCCTTTGCTTTTCTTGGGAGACTCCCAGAGGCCAAGGACCCCTGGGATTCCCAGGGACCTCCAGCGGAGAGTCTTTGAGGAGGTCCTCATTCTTCCATTATTGCTCAGCTTCCTAAGAAATTCTGCCATTGATTAATATTCATTCACCCAGGATTTGTACATAGTCCCTGGATTTAAATTGTTTCATTTCTTTGGCAAGGGAGTTGCCCTTAGTTTGACAGACGTCAGTTTAAAACTGTTGGGGAAAAAAAAATCTTTATACTGGGTGTATACTGTGAGCAATCAAGCATTCAATACTGATGGGGCCCGTTTGGGGAGGTATGAGAACAAAACTTTAGAAGTAACGTTTGTGGGTTTTGATCATCATTTTGACAGTGGGAACAGGAACTGCGCGGTAGGCTTCAGCAAGCTTAGTCAACATATTCGTTTTCAGAGCCACATATTTTATTTTTTTTTAAATGTTTTATTTATTTTTAGGAGAGAGAGAGAGAGAGACAGCGTGAGCAGGGGAGGGTCAGAGAGAGAGGGAGTCACAGACTGAAACAGGCTCCAGGCTCTGAACTGGCAGTCAGCACAGAGCCCGACGCGGGGCTCGAACCCACAAACCGTGAGATCATGACCCAAGCGAAAGTCGGACGCTTAACCGACTAAGCCACCCAGGCGCCCCAAGAGCCACATATTTTAATGATTCCGAGTGAACTAATGGCCAAAGTGCAACCTGTTGGTAATCACAGACTCCCCTCACCTGCCAGGGGTAAAAGTGCATGGTGCTACTCAGAACCATTCTTTACATTTTTTGAAGCTGGATGTGTTGATTAAATCGATAAGGTTAACTGAAAACTGCTACCTTAACTCATAAACCCCAAAGTGTATGGACTTTGACAATTCATCATTTTATGACGAAATTGTTTCATTTCAGGAACAATTTGATCCTATGTGTTGTCAGATGGATACAGGACTTTGCTCTCAGGAAACTCTCCAACATTAACTCTTTTTTGGCTTTAACTCCTGCTGACAAAATTTGTGTTATAAACACTGTAGAGATTTCCCCTAGTGTTTTATTAAAAAAAAAATTTTTTAATGTTTACTTATTTTTGAGCCAGAGAGACAGAGTGTGAATGGGGGAGGGGCAGGGAGAGAAGGAGACACAGAATCTGAAACAGGCCTCAGGCTCTGAACTATCAGCATAGAACCTGAAGGAGGGCTCAAACCCACCAACCATGAGATCATGACCTGAGCAGAAGTCCTGAAGTCCGATGCTTAACCGACTGAGCCATCCAGGCACCCCTCGCCTAGTGTTTTAAAATCATACTCCATTCTTGGGGTGCCTGGGTGGCTCAGTCGGTTGGGTGGCTGACTTCCGACCAGGTCATGATCTCGCAGCTCGTGGGTTTGAGCCCCGCGTTGGGCTCTGTGCTGACAGCCAGCTCAGAGCCTGGAGCCTGTTTCCGATTCTTTGTCTCCCTCTCTCTCTGACCCTCCCCTGCTCACTCTCTCTCTCTCTCTCTCTCTCAGAAATAAGTAAAATATTAAAAAAAATCATACTCCATTCCAATTACAATGTTTCCCTTTAAATTGGGATGCTGGGATATGCAGCAAGGGCCCATGGAAAGGAGGCTCCAAGACTTCATTTAAAATTAATTCTGAGGTAGGTGCCTCCGGAGCAGTGTGACTGAGTGGCATTTTGGAAAAGGATGCAGAGAGATTTCTAGGTGGTTCTGAGGGGACTTGATTTTTATAGGCCTAGAGAAATTGTCCAAAATTACTAAACAACTTACAAAGGTTAGGTAAGACTAAAGTCATGAGAGAATTTTGACCAGGTCCTCCTTTTAAAAGAGTGTTTATTAGTTAAGAGCTCATCCTAACCAATTCTGCAGTTGGCAAAATGGATTGAAAAAATAGAGTAAGTTTTCATTATCAGTGTTCAGTTGTGTCTATTCATATAAAAAAAGAAATGCAGGACCATTAACAGATGTTATTTGCAATCAAGAAGTTAGAAAACATAAGCAAGATAAAGATTCTAGTGTCTTGAAACCAATTAGCAATGAAGTCAAATCTTTTATTTTTTGGATTCATATCAGTGAACTCTAATTTCTAAAATGTTGGTGCTTTTCTGGTCTGATTATTGCTACTGATGAAAACTTAAGTTGCTCAATATAGTTGATTACAGATAATTTAAATGTGGTCTAAAATCAGAATAGAATATGACTTCACCCTTTGGACAAGAGATATTTCTGAAAACCTAGTTAAATATAGATGGTGGATATATAGTGAGTCCTGAGAATGACTTGTATTTAAAAAAAAAATTTTTAATGTTTATTTTTGAGAGAGAGTACGAGCTTGGGAGAGGCAGAGAGAGAGGAAGATACAGAATCCAAAGCAGGCTCCAGGCTCTGAGCCGTCAGCATGGAGCCAGATGTGGGGCTGAAATTTGCGTGCCGTGAGGCCATGACCTGAGCTGAAGTCAGCTACCCAACTGACTGAGCCACCCAGGCACCCCAGAATGATTATTTAGAAGGAGCTTCAGAAGATTTCTGAATTCATGGAGAGACACTGCAACATTCCATTTTAGAAATTCTTGAATTTTCTTAGGAGGAAAAATCTCCTACAACAGAGCTAAGATTTTCATTACGGTAGAAAATAAGAAGTGTCGAAATAAATAGGATAAGTACATTTTTTCACTTTGAGGAGACTCTTTTGGGTCCCGTTCAGAGATGAATTTGGTCACGAAGGAGCTGAGAATTAGGATATTGCGTTCCACCCTAGCTTTTGCATCTGCGTTCAACCTTACTACTTGTAAATTACTTTTCTATGGAGACTTGGGTGTAACAATAAGAGGCAGGGTTACTTTATACAAATAAACATCTCTGGGCCATCTTCCTTAACCATTTTCTTGCTACCCACAACTAGACAAAGGACATCCTAAATTTGTTTTTAAGCAAAGCTTCTAACACAGTATCTCCTCCTCAGAAGGAATCAAATTAATTCAAGCAGGTATTCAGCTGTCTTTGTTTTCTAAGTTTCCACACAGCATGTTCTTTACCTTAGCCTAATTAACTTCCTGCAGGCAAATATTCCACTTGTTCAGTTGAGAGTTGGTTAGCAAGTTATTGGATGGGGAACAGAACCTTTTAAAAAATTAATATTCTAAGAAATATGAGGCAGCAGTAACAGACAGTGTTTGGGTGTGATCACGTAAACAAGGCAGCCTGAATGCTGCCACTTTTTAGGCAAATGTTCTTTTCTTATCTGTAAAATCGGGAGAATACCTGATTGAGCCTACCTACACACACAGAAAAGACTCGCACGGACTGGGAAAACACCATTTTACTGACCCCAAGATGGGGTATCAGCATCCTTGTCTTTTAGGTCTCTTCAATAAAGCTCCAGTTAGGAGAGAAGCTAGGCTCTGGGGGGATAATCACGAAAATTCTAGATGTCAACGTTTCCAGACCTATAAATGGGATGGTTCACATCGTTAACCCGTTTCAATTAAAGAGACCACCTCCACCTGCCGAGCTCTCCCTTCTACCTCAGCTCGCAAAGGATCCTCGCTTTCGATCTGGCTCCTTGCGCCGCCTGGCGGCTACTTCTGGAAACAGAAGCGCCTTCGAGCTTCGGGGTCCTGGCTGCGGCCAGGCCTGTCCAAGGATTTGCCTAATTTCAGAGAACCTGTCTCCGCCCCTCCCCGCTACCGAGTGAGGATTTTAGGACGGCGATGAAAGGGCTGAGGTTAAGGCGAAGGGGGCAGCCAGTCCACCTCCTCGAGGATGACGGAGTCAGGCGGTTCTCGGGCAGCTCGCGACCCGGAAGTCACCGCCGGCGCGAGGTCCCCGTTGCCGAGCGCGGGCGCGCGGGGCGGAGCTTGGCGGAGACGGGGAAGGGGTCGCCGCGGCTGCCGCGGCTCCGGCTCTTCGAGGTGGCTGCTCCCCCGGGGGCTGGTAGGCAGGCGTCGAGTCGGCAGGGCGCGCGGCCGCGGTCCCCGGGTGAGCCGCTCGGCCGCGGCCAGGGGCGACATGAGTGCCGCGGGGCTGCTGGCTCCGGCCCCGGCCCCGGCCGGAGCGCCGCCGGCCCCGGAGTACTACCCCGAGGAGGACGAAGAGCTGGAGAGCGCCGAGGACGACGAGCGCAGCTGCCGGGGCCGGGAGTCGGACGAAGGTGCGCCGTCCGCTGGCCCTGCAGCCCGCGGCGGGGGCGGGTGGGGTGCCCCGGAGAGGGGCGGGGCGGCCTCCGGGGCTGGGGGAGGTGAAGAGGCCGCCGGGAGGAAGTTCCCCCCGCCTGCCCTGGGGCCGTGGCCGCCGTGGGGACGTCGTCCCCTGACAGGTACGGGACGGGAGGGCTTGGGGAGCTGCAGTCAGAGTTGGCGGTCCCTTTAAGACGGCTCCTCGTCCCCAGCCGTCCGTGGCGAACCTCACCTCGGGTCTTTACCGGTGGGAAGGAGAGAGAGAAAGCCTTCCGTTGGGTACGTTGAGCTCCCCTTCGCTTTTTCGTTCCCGAGGAGATCAGAGCAAAGCCCCGTGGGGCTTCCAGCTCCCGAAGTTGTCCCCCGCGACCCTCCACCCTCGGGGAGATGCTCAGCCAGCCCTACGGTGGGTCGCGCAGTGCAGGTTGAGAGTTCAGGTTGCTCCAAAGAACGGGACCTGGAATCCGCCGGATCGAGGTCTCCGTTTGGCTCCCCGAACCCAGCCATGTTAGCCTTAGCCAACTTACTGAAGCTTTCCAGCCTCAGTTTCTCTAGCCGTAATGGGGCTTTCCAGTGTCGGGGTATTAAATGAAATCTGTGCACAAAGTGCTTGGCATGGTAGTAGATGTTCTCGTCACCGCGGACGCAGGCACAGGTGAAGATGGCGATTTGATTAATGGTGCCCAGGTGTTGTGTTTTCATTTCCACGGTCTTTGCGTTACGACGACGACTTAGAGGCTTTTCAAACGGGACTTTACACTTCGGTGAGCGTCAGAAATAGCGTTTTGGAGGGAATTGAGAAAGGCGAAAAAAAGGACAAGGGCGGAAAAAGAGACCACCGTGTGGGTGGAATATTCTGGCGCAAAATAGGGCGGTGGCAAAAGGTTGAACTAGTTGTCTGGAAGGTGTTTATTCATCTCACTTTGCCACGTGCCTAGTACAGTGGCCGGCATAGGACAGGGATTCTGGAAAGGCCTCTTGACCGAAAGAGTAGAATGCTTTGTGGAGAACCGGATCAGCAGCAGCCTTTAAAATGGCAGACACGTGCAGATAATAAACTTGAAGCGACTAATTGCCTTTGGTTAAACTACATTTGAACGCGCGCCTTAACGAGGGATTTTGAATGTGAATCACTTGTAACTGCTCCGAAGACCCACAAGGGGGAGCGGTGAAGCCAAAATTGATTTTTTCCCCCTTTAAGTAGAGCTGTTGAAATTATGTAGACTGTTCGCTCTTCTAAGAACAATGTTTAAAATGTTCTGGGGCAGTTTCTGTTTATCTTGCCTCCTTTCTTTTCCCTTTAGCTGTGACTTTGAAAATATTTCAGTTGTTGGAGTTGAGTTTATTGGTTTGTGTTCTCTTTTGTGTAGACGTGATGTAAAATCTGTTACAGGTTCAAACCGAGCGTCGAGCAGAAGAGCGCGTTCCTGTTAGGCTTCTTGCACAGGCATGCATTCATTTTGTTGAAGGTTAAGTGTAACTGTGTCCGGTGATGCCAACTTTGTGAACTGTTGACTTTAACAGACTTTCCTTCCTTGATTTTACTTAGACACTGAAGATGCTAGTGAAACTGACCTGGCGAAGCACGATGAAGAAGACTACGTAGAAATGAAGGAACAGTGAGTATGAGTCTTCTGCTGCTTGTGTGGAATACAGGATTCACCAAGAAATCTTTATAGTGACGTCATGTGTATGGTTTTGACCATGGAGCTTCCAAAGACCCTGTGTATGTGCACAATTTCCCCCTTTAAATTTGTCCTATTTCGTCAGTCCTCCTATTAAGAGTCTTTTGCGGGTTGGCTAGGAACAACCTTGAGGGAAATGGGCCATGTAGCAGGAGAGAATGGTTTTCAGTGTCTTCATTTTTTTTTTTGTTCAAAGAAATTTTTTTTAAAGTTTGTTCTTGAGAGAGAGGGCGGGGGAGGGGCAGAGAGAGGGAGACACAGAATCTGAAGCAGGCTCCAGGCTCCTAGCTGTCAGCACAGAGCCCAGTGCGGGGCTTGAACCCACGAACATTATGACCTGAGCTGAAGTTGGATGCTTAGCCGTCTGAGCCACCCAGGTGCCCCCCGCCCTTTTTTTTTTTTTTTTAAATGGGAAAACCATAACTCCGGGTCAAGGGTGTGTCCTACCTATTTGGTTCTCAGGGGACTCCACCGAGAGCTGAAGGTGTGCTGGGGCCCTGGATTGCACGGCTCCTGACTCGCTCCAGTGTTCTTTCCACTTGTCCCGTCTCCACCCTCAGGCCTCTGAATGTGCCCAGAGAAACTGAGACCACTCATTTTAATGCAAACACAGATGGAAGACTGCATAAAATATACTCCATAAGTGTTTGTTGAATGTATTTTGAGGATCTTGATTTGACTTCAGATTCTTTATCTTTAAACCAGATGATCCACATTCGGTTTTTTTATAGATCCCATTTGCACATGGTTCGTGACCATCCTCTGGATTCTGTTATCCTTTTCAAGCTTTGGAGCCCAAAGGGGTAACTCAGCTAAATTCCACCCACCCATGCTGAATAAAGAAGGATTACTTTTTTTTTTTTTAATGTTTGTTTATTTTGAGAAAGAGACCACGTGTGCTGTGCCTGCTTTTTATTTTTATTCTCATCAGGCTTTTTACTGATTTATCTTGAACTATTTTCACCTTGAACCATATCAGTTTAGTGTACCTTTTCTTTTCCCAAATCTACATTTATCTTGCTTGTATTTGCAGTCTGTTAATATTCCCTTTCAAAGATGGACTCAGAATTCAAAGGCATTTGAATTTACTGCGCTCTGTGGTGGAAAATTTAATACACTGGGCTCCAAATACTTATTGTGTGCAGTTTACACATTTGTTTCTTATAGTCCTATTTAAGTATTCCTTTGAGACCCTAGTTTAATTAGTGTGCCTCTTAATATTGGTTACAGGGGCTGCCTGGGTGGCTTAGTTGGTTCAGCGTCCGACTTCAGCTCAGGTCATGATCTTATGGTTCACGAGTTCAAGCCCCACATCTGGCTGGCTGTTTTCAGCACAGAGCCTGTTTCAGATGCTTTATCACCCTCTCTCTCTGCCCCTCTGTTAATCGCTCATGCTCTCTCTCAAAAATAAACATTTGAAATCTATTGGATACAGAAACATTTTTGAATAAAACTGAATGCCTTGTATGATTCAAGGTGAGCATTGAGAGTACATCAGAATTCTCCTTGATCTTTTGATCAGATCTCCTATGGAATCCCCGGATTCTCTTTCACCCTTCCCTCAGCCTATACAAATAGTGGGGTTGTATTTACCCTTTATGTGAGCAATCAAAAAGTTAGTGTGCTTGTTCTCTGTTGGTTGCAAGTCTTGTTTTGTCACTGTCAAAGTGGTGGGTGTTTTTCAGATAGAAACAAAAATACTGTTGAAATAGGATTTACTTGTGGAATCCACCATTCAAACAGACTTGCCAGAGGGAATAATTGCCTTTAATCCATGTGATGTGAAGGAGAAGAAATAACACGAGGTGTGTGCTCTGTGTTCTTACCCGGCTGGGGCTGTGGACAAATCCTGTGTTTTAACTGTTATTAAATTCTTGTTATTTCTCTGATCAGGAAAGGGTAGTACTTTTAAAAGTAAAACGAAGGTTTATTAACTTGGTGCTATGCCGACTATGTTATCTACGTAGAAAAGGCATAATCTTCTTTGGAACTTATAACGTAATTGTATGGTTGGTAGAAGGGCCATGTTTAGGCCTTTGCTGCATTTGTATATTTATACTTCCATATCCATAAGAAAATGGCATCACACTTTCAATTTCTAACTTCTCACCTGTTTGTTGCTTATTAAATTTTGTGTGTCTTCATATTTGTGGGTTTCAGACTGATTCTCTAAAGGTGGGATAGAGAACACAGGAGACTGCAACACTGAGTTAGGATTCAGAAACACAGAATCCTTGTCCCTTTCTGATCCCGTTAGCTGCTGGTACCTTTTAAACTGGCTGGCAGACTCCAGTTTTCTGTTTCTTTCTCCCCCCCCCCCCCCCCCCCCCCGAGAGAGAGAGAGAGAGAGAGAGAGAGAGAGAGAGAGACATAGCATGAGTAGGGGAGGGTCAGAGAGAGAGGGAGACACAGAATCTGAAGCAGGCTCCAGGCTCTGAGCTGTCAGCACAGAGGCACAGAGCCCAATGTGGGGCTCGAACCCACGGACTGGGAGATCACGACCTGAGCCGAAGTCGGACGCTTAACCGACTGAGCCACCCAGGTGCCCCAGTTTTCTTTGTTTCTTAAAGGACATTAATAACATTCTCATAGGAACCCAGGTAATTCCTACGTGTAGATTATTTTGGAATCGAGTATTGAATGTTTTTTGTCTTCCAGGGTGACTTTTTCTTTCTTTAAACAGGATGTACCAGGATAAACTGGCTTCTCTCAAGAGACAGCTGCAACAACTTCAGGAAGGTTGGTGTGTGGTTTAACCCTTCATTTCTAAGTGTGCTTAGTATTGGAAACTTTGGAAATTTTTCGCTCCGCTGTGGGAGTGATTTAAAATTTGGTCTGGCTGATTTTAGCTGTCAGTTTTGCTAACTTCTGTCAGTAAAGTAATTTTCACTTTTTCAAAATCTCAGACCCTTTGGAAGAGCATGAGCTAAAAAACATTGTGTGCCTAAAGCTAGACATTTTTAGGAGACGTTGTTACCAAAGAATACACGAAATGATGCATTTCTTTCTAAACGAATTGCTGGTGAATGGCGGGCCATCCTTGTTGTGTTTTCTCGTGTTTGCTGGGTGAATTAGAAGTGGTTGTATCTTGTTTAGTGCTGTTTCCTGCTGAAGACAGTCCAGCATCAGGTAAGAGCATAGGCTCTCAGGTGCCATCGTGGGCTTGAAGCCCAGCTTCACTGCCTTCTGGAAATGAGACTGTGGGCACACCACTTTCTCTTTCTTTTTTTTTTTAAATTTCTAGGAGAGAGAGAGACAGCGTGAGCAGGGGAGGGTCAGAGAGAGAGGGAGTCACAGACTGAAACAGGCTCCAGGCTCTGAGCTGGCAGTCAGCACAGAGCCCGACGTGGGGCTCAAACCCACGAACCGCGAGATCATGACCCAAGCGAAAGTCGGACGCTTAGCCGACTAAGCCACCCAGGCGCCCCAACTTTCTCTTGTTTAAAACTGTTTTCCAGTCTTCACAAGGCAGAAGGTGGAAGTAGATGAGATTACCCGCGAGGGAGGACTAGCACTGTGGGGAGCAGGGTGGGACGAGATAAACTCTCCAGCACGTCTGTAGGCATACCTGGCATGACTGAGCGAGAGATTTTGAAAATGGTGCCATTAACGCACCCTGCTAGTACGTCACGATCGGGAAATGCTTTGCAAGATAAGAGTGACCGAGTAATTGGCTGCTTTGGGGAAAAGCAATGACAGGAGGAGACATTTGGTGAAAAACTATCCCCGAGCTATCCAGAATTGTTAATGGCCACGTGTGGCTATTTAAATTTAAGTAACTGAAATTAATAATTCCGTTGCTCAGTTGCTCTAGCTACATTCCAAGTGCTCAGTAGCCACATATGACTAGTGGCAGCCATACTGGACACTGCAACATGGGACGTCCCCACCATTGTGCAAAAGGTTCTCCTGGACGGTCTCTGCTGAAAGTTCTAGGCCTTACTGAGGAAGAATGAGCCTTTTTCAGGAGAGGGAGGCCCATTGACTCTTAACTGTGGCAGCAGGTGATCAGAATCATTTGAAGCCCGCACCTTTCCACTTCCTCTCACTTGCTAGAGAGTCAAACACTAGGTGGGATGATTTCTGTTGTTGGCCTTGGTTGAGAACCAGAGTCCAGTTAGCTCTATTTGTGCCTTTCCTTGGTTTGTGTTTTACTTTGATGTTATTAAAACTGTCACTGCTGATACCGTAGGATAATTTTAGGAACTGAAATGTAAAGCAGATCTTCAAAGTAACGTTTTATTTTGTAAATCTCAAAATCAGGTACATTGCAGGAATATCAGAAGAGGATGAAAAAACTCGATCAGCAGTACAAAGAGAGGATCCGAAATGCAGGTGAGACTGTCTTGGAAGTAAGTCAGCTTCAGGCATTCCTCCTCTGGCTGATTATCAACGTAACGTGGTTGTGAGAGCTGCTGTCCAGCACGCCCCTCTGAGAACGGGGGTGGGGTGGGGGACTCCAGAGCTACAGGTGAGGAGAGCTGGTTCCACTTTTTCCAGTGGCCAATCCAGTTTATTCGCTGTGGCTCCTCGGGTCAGTTGTGCTCCCTGGCGCCCCCAGGTGGCTTCTTGTCGTAAGTTATGCTCGCTGGGGCCCCAGGTTAGGCGGTCTTGCCCTCTCTGTCTCCCATCTGTACAGCTGGCCGAAAGGACCATCAGAGCAGCTGACACAGGAAAGAATTGTAGCTTGTTTCACTCATTTCTAGTTTGCTTCTTTTGGCGTTCTCTGCTCTGGTGTTTTCTCCTTGAGTGTTAGAAGCATTTAGGGGAAGGGTGTGCCTTGTGTTGTTACAGTACACAGTGTGTTCATTCAGTAAGAATTTGTGGAGCACCTGCTACATCCAAGCTCAGAGCACAGTGAATTAGTGGAACACCATGTCCTTGACTTTAGGAAATTTCATTGACAGAAGACATCCAAACGTGAATAAGTTAAGGAACATTCTGAGTCAATAAAGAATCATGCAAAAAGTAAGATGTGATGATTGTTCATTGCATGTAAACACAAATTCCTGGTCTCACGGGAAATGTTTTGTAAGCATTTGATTTTGAATGCCCACCTGGTGCCTGTTCTCATCCGGGGGGGGGGGGCTCACACTGCGTCTGCAGATGCCGTCTGGGTGCCACTCCCCAGGCCACTGTCCGTTGCTTTCTTTTCTGTTGTTTTTCTTACTGTTCCCTCTCTCCAGGGAGTAGCTGTCCTGTGTACACCAGCAGGCAGAGGGGAGGGGTGTGGGAGACACTGGGAAAATGGAAGTATAGCCATTAGCCTTCTGCGCGCCCATGTCCCGCCTGCCGCTGAGGTTACTCCCACTGCACTCTGAGTCCCTGAGGCATCTCCTTGGGACATCTTTGGGATCCTCAGCCCTCTTCCCAGTGTTCCCCATTTGCAGGGGTGAGGCCCTAGGGCTAGGTCTTCGTCCCTGCACTTTAGGTCTTGAGCCTGTAAGCAGATATTTTGCTCCTAGAGCCCCAGTTTCTCCATCTATCTATGGGGGGAATGTGAATACCTCAGGAAATTGGTTTAAGATACAAGTAAGGAAAGTAATGGATTGAGCCATTTTTCTGAAGCTAGAACTGCAGCGTAAGCATTGAGCTATTTTCCTTAATTCCACTTCCAACCCTGTCCTGTGTGCCCTTTCAGAAACATTCTCTCCCCTGCCCCCAGATCCACCTGCGGAAGAGCTCCCACGTCAGTCCCAGCTGGAGCCTTAAAGAGCACATTCTGTGCAGAGATAATCCTGCAGCAGCCAGCTCCGAACCGAGAGCCGGTGCAGGTGTGCTCTCTGAGATGGCACGTACCCGCCGTGTCAGGTGGTTCATGCATCTAAAGCAGTTGTGGGGCCGGCACGTTGGGCTGGGTGTGCTTGGGCTCCGTGCTCAGCGATCCCAGGACCAAAGTGGTCAGGACCTCTGGAGGGGTTAGAAAATAATGAGTGGCTTGTCCCTTTCCTCATTAATTTTTTTAATTTTAAATACTTTAAGTAGGCTCCACACATGGCGTGGGGCTGGAACTCACAGCCTTGAGATTGAGTCGTGTGCTCCACTGACTGAGCCAGCCAGGCATCCCTCTTCATTTAAACTTCCTATTCAATATGTATTGAGGTCTGAGTTCGTAATCTGGAGCCCTGAAACTCAGAATTCTAGATTACGTGTGGATGTGCGCAGATGCTTTTTTATGGGCACGCGGGTCTATAGCGTTTGTCATGTTCACGAAGGCGGCCATGATCAGATGTGAATAGCACCCCTGGAATTGTTGGTTCACTCACAGTCTTTGTGACCTGGGCAGCAGCCCAGAAAAGATCACCCAGAAAAGATTAGATGCCGTGGACCTGTTTTGTTCAAAGGGCTGGCTCTCTAGAGGGCCTTCTAACCTAGCCGTGGGGGGAGCTGCTGGGTAAACCGTTGCTAATGGCCCAGCACGTAGTAGGTGATAAGTAGGCTATCGAATCCTCTTGGGTGGGGACTTGTAGGTGTGTGTGTCGGGGGGGAGGGATGGGGGGTGGAGGGGGTGGTAAGTGAAGGTTCCTCAGCAAAGGCTGAGGGGAGCCGCCTCGTGTGGGGGGCTGCATTTGATCCGGAGCTTGGAAGTACGTCAGAGAAACCCGCAGGGCATTGCTCTGGAGGCACAGCCACACACATGGGCATGGTGGCCTGTGAAGGGAGCCCAGAAGGGCTCAGAACCTCTGCCTCTGAGTTCTCGGGGATGTCCTTCCTTGCCGCCCAGAGCCCTTCTCACTTTAGAAACCTCAGTGTTGATTCTGTTTCTGGAGAAGCAGCCTTGTTCCTTCCTGCGCCGCCCTGCCCTGTAGGACTGTGGGAGGGAATGTACGCAGTGAAAGGAGAGATGACTTTCAGTTTTATTTTGCAGGGTAGTTTGGTTCCCGCTGCTTGATTTTGCCCTTGGGCAGAACTGCCATAAGGGATTCTGTTCAGGGCCAGATTTTAACTAGATGCGAGAGCTTCTGCATCCTTCCCCTTCATGTAGATCAACACTTTACTGATGGAAACAGTTGCTCTGTGTAACGGTGCTTTCAGAAAGCAATTACTGCTTCTAAATGAATCCTACCATCACTGTTTGCAAGGGTGACATAGCCTAGCGAATCTAACTGCACGTTTTCTCTCTTTCAGAACTCTTCCTCCAGCTGGAAGTAAGTCCCTTGGATCATCTGGGTTTGCAGGCCCTCCCTGAGACTGGAGTCTTGGTCTCCAAATCTGGAGAACCTTTCCTTCTGTCACCAAATGGCTAGTTGAAAAGCCCCCAACTGCAAGCCTTCATCACGGCTGAGTTTGGCCAGAGGACATTTTGGGTCTCCATTTAGAAATTCCTGTCTGTTGGTTTATAGATTGGGCAGCTTCTGCTTATCACAGGGAATGAGGGGGTGCTCTCACCCCACTGCTTTCTTGTTGACTTTCATCTCCCGTTAAAGCCATCTGGGAGTGTGTCTAAGTTTCAACGGTCTAATAATTTGTTACATAGCTCCTTATGCAACCCAGTTTCTGAAGCGGCTCAGGGGTTCAGATTTACAGTAGAAATGCTCTAGGTCAGTAGGAAAGGCGGACTTAACATTTTTCCTTTCCTTCAGCAGACATCTGAGGGTTGGTTCTTTGTGGAGCACAGGGCTGTGGGACAGAGCTGAGAGCCTGAATCTTGGATGATGATCTGTTCCTGGGTTGTATGTGTGGGGGAAGTTCTGGCTTTGTGAGAGCTGCACGCGAGTGTGAGGTCGTGGTTTAACAGAGCCGCGTTATCAGAAACCATTTCACTACTGAAGTCAGTGGAGCACATGTAGTTACAGCCTGCAGGATTACGTGATCCACAGCCGTAGCCCACCATAAGCTCCCTTGTTCTTCACCTAATATAATGGTGAGACCTAAAAAGTGAACACTTTTAAATTTAGTATTATTCAGTGTTTGAGTGCTTGAGAGTTCAGGTACCTAAAGAATGATCTGATAACCTAGTAGATTTTATCTTGGTATAAACATCAACAAATCTAGTAACTCTTGTCATTTTCACTCCGTGTGTTTATTTTATCCAGAACGTATTTTTTTCCTGAGATATTATGGCTTTAAAAGAATTTATTATCTGTGAGAATCTTTAAGTTTTACTTGAAGCTACAAGCCATGTGATATAAAATGTAAAAGAGAGGAAATAGCTGAGTAGCAAGTGAAGTATTATGCTCGTAGTCTGGTCAGAGTTGTATAGTTCAATTTTATCCACTCGTTGGAGAACTTACAGACGCCCGCTACTGCCCGTGCGTGTGGGTGCAGCTAAGGCCGTGTTTCCCAGGGAGGTGTCTTCTAGGCTCCCTCGTGCAGAACTGGGCTTAGAGCTGGAGCCTGAGCCTCGGTTTCTCTTTGCATAGACTGAACAGGTGGAAAGAAACTACATTAAAGAAAAGAAGGCTGCAGTGAAAGAATTCGAAGACAAGAAGGTGGAGCTGAAAGAGAACTTGATTGCTGAGTTGGAAGAGAAGAAGAAAATGATTGAAAATGAAAAGCTGACGATGGAGCTGACTGGAGGTACGAAGGCGCCACAGGGCAGGGTCTGGGGGTGGGGGGTCACAGTCCCTCTTCTGTCTCACCGCAGCTACTCCTCTAGGCAGCGAGCCGAAAGGGGGTGGGCTTTGGCATGATGGCTCAGACTTCCAGCTCTGTCTCATACTGGCTTTGTGACTTTGGTGGGGACACCGAATGTCCCTGAGCCTCTTTCCCATCTGTAAACTGGGGCTGATCAGACCTTGTCTCACGGGATTGTGGTTAGAGATGTGAGTGCCTAGCACAGTGCCCTGTGTGTCTCAGGCATTCAGCAAATGTCAGCCCTTTAGTAGTAGTGTATGCTTTATTTAATTTAATTCCTGGGTCAGCCACATGTCTTCTTTATATTCATGAATTACTTACCCAGCTCCCTCTGATGGTGGGAATCTCTCTTTCTTTCAGTTCACCTTAATTACAGGAAAGTCAGTGTCTTCTTCTGACCTACATATGAGAACAGAGGGGTTTGGCTGTATCATCTGTGCTCTTAGATCCCTTCCCCAGGTGTTACTGTGAACATTTCAGAAAGAGTTGGTACAAAGTTGGCAGGAGTAGCCAAAGTGAACTAGTTTCCTGTGAAGGTAGTGAAGTTATGTGAGACCCTGAGCCAATCCCGCCCTTGCCTTCTAGGCTTCAGTAATCCGCATACGGGAACTCAGCAGGCTGTGGGTCTGTGGAAGGGAGAAGCAGCATGGGCTGACTATCGCCATGTGTAGACTGAGGAAGCCTCAGATACAGGGCGGGAATTGGCTTGAACTAGATATTTTGGAACTTGGAAAAATTTCTGTCAGCAAATATTGCAAGACAAGTCAGTGGTGAGTTCGTCACCTGGATGGGTGAGGGGCATGCCTTCTGCACACCCCAGATTCCACTCTTCTCATGTACAGAAGGTTTGGGGGCTCTGGCGTGTCTGACTTTAGTAGGGGGTCTATCAGAAGTCTGTTGTTTTCATGTTAAATTCTGGGGGTGGAGTTTAGAAGTAACAGTTAAGTAGTATTTCTCCTTCTGTATTTCTGGTGCTGTGGCCCTTCAGTAGATATAAACTTCTGGCCCCAACCCCTATGGTACACCCATGAGAATATGGTGTGTCTGAAGTGAGCGTCTGAATCTTCAGAAATCTCTCCCCTGGTACACTTCCCTCATTGAAAGACTTGGCAGAAGGAGTTCTGTCTTTGAAGGCCTCTGAAAGCAGCTCAGAAATGTGTTTTTGGTAAGAATGCATGCTAAAATGGCATCTTCAGACAGCACCGCCTTATGGACGTGCTTTGTTGGTTGGATCGCTACCCCTGTGTTTCTGTGTTCGGTGCAGTTTGCCTGTTTTCTGACCCGTATACCATTTTCTTTGACGGTGGCTTCTGGCATTGATGCCTCATCGCTCTCTGCTAGAGCCACCAGATGTTTGCGAGTCTTCATGAGGCTGGTGGGAAATCGCGTCAGTTTATAGCTGCTCCCTTTCCATCTGCAGGGAAGGATAGCATCACCTTACCTGTGATTTGGCATCCTGATTATTGATGAGCAGTAGACATTGTTTGGCCAGGCCATTTTGCAGCCAGAATCTTAACTGGGACAGGAGGTGTCCCCAGTGAGTTGAGGCTGAGCCTGCCAGGGCAAAAAAGACAAATAAATGCGGGGAAGTCATTTGTAATGCAGTAAAATAGATTGCACAAGTGCTTAAAGCCAGCCATGGGCACTAAAGCTACCGATGTCCTTCCTCAAGCCGTTTGGTACCCTTGGTGTGGAAGAGCCCTGCCAAGGTAATGATAGAGCGTCGGAAGGAAAGGCAGTGGAGCTAGAAGGATAATTAGCGTGCCCACAGATGGTGCCGGTGTGGTGCTGGGTGAAGGGCCTCCTCTCCCTTGTCTCATTGAGTGACGCGTTTCACCTCTGTGGGTTGATGCCTGGTGTCTGCGTTGGCTGGCTCTGCCCGGAAAAGATAGTGTTTAAAGTCTCCTCTTCCGGTCCAACGTGAAGATCTCTTGAAAAACAGAGCTGGAATGAGAGGCTGATGGGAAACTTGGACCAAATAACCTGTTGGGAACAGGGAGAGCCAGTGACCTGCTCTGCCTGAACAGGCCTGGAGGCTTTGCAGACTCCGCGGGGCTGAGTCGGGGGTTGTCCACTGCCCACGCCGCTCTGAAAGAACTTAGGAGAGCAGGGTGTGCGGGCGGAAGCCGGGACAGACCTTGGATGGATCAGCGCCTCCAGCTGGGCTGTGTGCGTGAGCCACCTGGGTCTCGATGAATACAGCTGCTGCTTCAGGGAGGGCTGGGGATGGGGGCTGCGATCCTGCACTTCGAACTGCCTCCCGGGGGCTGCTGATGCGGATGGCTGGACCACACTTGAGTAGTGAGGATGTATAAATGGAATTATCTGAGCGTGAGTTTTCTCTGCAGTTGAGGCCAAGGTTATGAGTAACTAATCAGTGAGAATTTAAAGAGCTTTAAAATGTGGGGTGCTTGATCATTTTTCATCCATTTGTCCTCTTCCTGTCTTGAGGATAGCAGCCTTTTCTCCTTAACAGCCTATCTCCTTGGTCTCAACAGCCCACCAACTGCTACTTCATTTTCTTTTGTAAAGTTTTGCCTCCCCAGGGGGCATCTTCCAACCCTCTAAGCCCCTGTGGATGCTCCTTGTGACCTCATTAAGCCTGTGAGTTTCCTTTAGAAGATAACTGGATTCGTAGGTGGAGCCATGGATACTTACAATATTAAAGTCATAATTACAGTATCAAAGTATGCTAAAGTACTGTTTCCTGAGTATGTACACAGAGGCAGGTATTACATAAAAGCACTGGACTCCCTTATTAGGCTGACAGATGTGGATGAATCCTGGCCCTCTCCCGAACGTGGTTCTCTGGTGGGTTTTCTCCTTTAGGAAGGAGATGGGAGAGCCTGCTTTGGAGGTTTGGTGTGAAGATCGGATGAGATAATGCCTAGGAGGTGCTTCAGAGCGTGGCTGCCACACCAAGTGAGCACTTAGGGATCGGGAAGTTGTAGCTCTCTTCAGTTCCGGCAGCTCCCTTCACCCTTCGGTGGACTTGGCAAAGACACCTCGGGGCAACGGCACTTGCTCAGAGTGCCCTGGTGTGATCATGCTTACGCCAGAATTGGTCTCAACCACCACGTTCTACCGACTTCCTAGTGGAAATGCTGTGGATTCACGTGGTGCTGAGTGGTTCATGCGGCGAGGCTAATATTGCCCCTCAAGGAGCTGTATTCTGATAGTTACAGGGCTGACACCGCTTCTCTGTCCTGCCCGGACTAAGGTGGTGTCTCCAAGTGCAGGCTCCTAAATGAAGGTAAAGATTTGTCAGGCTTGTTAGAATTGTAAAACCTGCCAAGGCACGTGTATGTGGTTGTACTGATGCGGGCGTGGTTCCACGCCGTGAGGAGCAGGTGCCAGGAGGCAGGGAACCTTGGAAGCCGAGGCAAGGAGACCAGGCCTCACACAGTATCTGGGCACGGAGAATGGAAGAGGCGACCTGGGCTTTGGGTGGAGCGGGCTTGTTGCCGAGACGTTCCTTATTGGTGCTGCCCTTGTGGGATCCAGGTGTTGGGTGGGTGGTTAAGGGTGCAGAGGAGGCTTGATTAGTTCACTCCTTTAATACCGTCCCTGTGCTCTGGGCAGCTTTGGCCTAAGGGAGATTGGGCCCTTCATTCCTACCCTGGTTGGTGGGTCACCGAAAACCTGATTTTTCTCTTCCTTCCCCCATCTCCTTGAGTTGTGATGCTGATGAGCCTGCCAGCTCCCTGGAGAGGGACTGTCGGGTCCGTCGGACTTTGCTCTGGGCCCCTCCGCTTGCCCCGTGTTGCGCTGCCCCCAGTTTGTAGCTAGCCTGTTACATGGTTACCCTGCAGGGCTTTTTCTGCCACTTGACGTTCTTTTTCTTGAGGATATTCCTTTGAATCACTGCAACTGCTGTGTTTTCAATGGCTAAACAAGCATGGGTTTGTTTTTAACAGTTAAAGTATGTTCCAGTGAAGTTTTTACTGCATTTACAGGCTGTAGGCAGGTGAGCTGTTGGAATGAATGACAAGGCCCAGAGAAGTAAGGAACCCAAAGGCCAGCAGGGAAGTGGTAATTGTATGGTAATTGCAGGTAATTAATGTTATCAGGAATCTCAGTTGGGACTGGTGCTGTAACGGCTCTGCCCAGGCCTGATTGAGCCTCGCTCCCGCTCTTCGCCAGTGTACCCAGCGCTACCCGCAGAGCGCCTGTATCCATGGGCCGTTCCCGCTCTCCTTGCTGGCGACTAGAGCAGGGGGAGTTACGCTGTTAAGGTCCCGTGGAAGAGGTGGTTTGTGGAGGAGCTGCGCACCTGGTCTCCCTGGTCCGGTGCTTCTGCCTCTGGTGTGTTTGGTGTTCGGTCAGATGACAGACAGCATTGCCATGGAAGCGAACCTGCGAAGGGTCCCAGCTGTTCTGAAAGGCTTTCTGCTCGAAGCCAGTTAGAGTAGTATTGGGCTTGTTGAGAGGAAGACCGGGTTCCTGCTCAGGTGCCGTCTCCAGGCTGCCGCGCTCCAGCGTCTGAGGGTCACTTCCAGAAGTCTCATTTTTATGGTGTATCCACATTGAGCCCCTTGGGCCTCTTCCTGGCCAAGCTCCCAGGAGACTGATATTACAAACTCAGTGTGTCAGGCTGTTGCTTCTCGTGAGCAGTGGATCATCCCGGTGGATTCAGACCAGATCACTCAGATATCCTTCTCCTCTGTGAAAAATCTAGCTTAGAAGGTTGGAGCAAAGTCAGTGGGGTCCGTAACGCACTGTAGCTTTGGGGCTACAGCACATGTACTTCCACGTTGATCTTTTCCACGAGTCCCGTCTTCCGCTGGCCAGGCCTGCTCCCCGTTCATCCTTCTGGACGGTGGTGGGGATGGGCTAATACATCTTAGGGGCTTTTTCGGAGCACGTTCCTTCTGCTGAAACAGTCTTTTGGGTAAAAATTGATTAGGTTATTGTGGTGAATAGGCTAATAAAATGGATTGATTTTTTTCGCTCTTTCATAAGAATTTGATTATATTTTCTGACTTGTGAGTGATACAGTTAGGATTTTCTGAGCTTATTGGCCATGATTAGACTGGTTTATTCCCACGTTCTCTCAGCTGTGCCTTTACTTGGTTCATTTCCATCATGTATGGCTCACCATCCCACTCCCCAGTCCTGGCAGCCCAAAGGGCAGGGCACACTTGGCCCATTGTCCTCGGCGGATGGACCATTCCTTGGTATCCACGCGCTAAGTGCTCCTTCTCTAATGTTCTTTGGGTTGGTGAGTGCCCTTCACACCCCACAGCTGACATCAGTTGTCTTCAAGTATGTAACTTCTGTTTCATTCAGCTGTTTGTACCTTGACTTTAAAAAAAATTTTTTTTAATGTATGTTTTTGAGAGGCAGAGTGAGCACAAGCTGGGGGAGGGGCAGAGAGAGAAGGAGACCCAGAATCGGAAGCAGCTCCAGGCTCCGAGCTGTCAGCACAGAGCCTGATGTGGGGCTTGAACTCATGAACTCACCAACTGCAACATCATGACCTGAGCTGAAGTCAGACGCGCCCTTGTACCTTGACATTTTGGAAAGATTTTTGTACAGTGCTTTTCCTGGCTGTCGATGCCGTAGTGAAAACTAGCAGTGATTGAACTCTTGTGACGCAAGGCACCCTGTTTAGGGCTTTACTTGTATCATCTCACTCTCACAGCGTCCTGTGAGGAAAGTATTACTGCTAATTTCACGTTCTAGATGAAGTAACGGGAGACAGGATTTACGTAGCCTGGGAGGCCCTGCCACCGCCACAGCGGGATCCACACCCAGCAGCCAGTAAGAAACTGGTGGAGTGTTCTGGCCTGCCCCCCCCACCTCCCCCCCCCCGCACACCTGTACAAACACTACATTAATTGGGATTGCGCTTCTCCTCACTCCCCTCCGTTTAGAGGAATCAGTGCTGCCTATTTCCCTTGTTTTTTCTTTTTTTCTTTTTTTTTTTTTTTAATTTATTTCTGAGAGACCATGAGCAGGGGAGGGTCAGAGAGAGAGGGAGACACGGTATCCGAAGCAGGCTCTGAGCTGGCTGTGGGCACAGAGCCTGATGCAGGGCTTAAACCTACGAACCATTAGATCATGACCTGAGCCGAAGTCAGACGCTTAACCGCCTGAGCCACCCAGGTGCCCCGTTTCGCTTCTTAAGAGCAACACGCAGACCTATTTTTTGACCTGCACACATGATTATTGCGTCCTTGGCAGCCCCTGCACGCTGCCTCCATGGGAGAGGCACTTGAATTCTTTGCCACGGTGGAAGGGCTGGCTGCACTTGAACTCCGCAAGGCTGTCCCGTCTGCTCTGCCGATGGTATGCATGGTCTCCTCGTCTCGTTCTGCAGGAAACTCTGGGAAGCCCCTGCTGTGTGCCACAGTGTTGCTTACGTGTTGGGGTGGAATTCAGGGGTCTCTGGGGAAATGACCCTTATGGTGTGGCACTTGGTAGCCGAGGGGCAGCGGTTTGCTCTGGTTATGGAAGATGGCATGACTTTGGAAGCCATTGTGGAATGGGGAGTGTGGGGCTGGCTCTCACGGGATGTGGAGGAGTTTGCCAGGCAGAAAAGAGGGGGCCAGGCAGAGAGGAAAGCGTGCAAAGCTTGAAGGCATAGTAAGGCATGTGCCGTTGGGTCACAGACTAGCTAAAAGCTCTCACACGGTTATGTATGAAGGAAGGCAGAGGGGCAAGACCAGAAAGAGGCATGGACTTTTTTCCATAGAACGTGGTAAGCCATAGAAGTGTTGAGTAAGAGGCGGATGTGTTGTATAATGATGTGATTTGTGTCTTACGGAAATTGCACTGAGGGAGGTGAGGATAGGATGAGGGGATGGAGTTGAGAGGTGGTTTCAGGGCAGAACTGCCTGTGATCTGGTGAACGTGATGCTTGAGTGAAGGAAGATAAGTCACAATGACAGACTCTGTTCTGGCCGAGAACGATTGACAGATGTGATGTCCCCAAGACTCGGGAGGGGAGGCAGCCATGGGAGGTGAGACGAGAAGTGAGAGTGGATGGTATCACTGGGCATAGGTTGCCATTCAGAAGGGTTGGGGAGCTGGTATTGGTGACCGAGGCTGTGAACTGACTGGACTCGAGGTGTCACCAGCAGAAAGGAGTCCCAGGGAGATCTGTGTGGTGGTGGCAAGGGGAGGAGAGATTTTAAAGCAAGAAGAGTCAACAGTAGTGCAGACTGCAGAGAGAAGGCAAGGAGAATGAAAGGGGCCTTTATTATGAGCCTTCATTACATCATTCTTGTTAGTCAAGTAGCTAGGAAAGGTTATAGAATAAAATGAAATGGAGGAGTCTAAGTTTGTAGATAAAAATGTCCTATAAAGACGTTGGCGCTGAGGCTGGTGACCTGTCACAGAGCCTCGTGCGCACATGTGCTTCAGGTTCCCTCCCTCCTGGGAACAGCAAGAATTTGTTGACTGAGATGACCCAAAGGTTCCTTCTGATCGCAAGAGCCGGTCGCTCCATGGCTTCTTAATTTGAGGGAAGAGGAGGGAAATCCTAGTTTTTGGGGTGCTGGAGAGAGCAGCAGCTCCACAGGTAGACTGTAAGGCGGGGCTGCGTTTTGGGGGTGGGGGGTGGCGATGACACTCTTAGGCCAGCCAGTCAGTCTTCTGGATAGCCCGCCTCCAGAGTCTGAGATGGATGTCTGGATTGGGCCGTGTCCAGATGTCCCCCAAACCAGTTCTGATTGGGTGGCTGTGGGACAGATACTTGTACAGTACAGCAGTTCTTACTGACTTCAAGTGGGAGTTGGATAGATTTACCCGTTCAATTCTTGCCACAGATTCTATGGAAGTGAAACCCATCATGACCAGAAAGTTGCGGAGGCGACCAAATGATCCTGTCCCCATCCCAGACAAGAGGAGAAAACCTGCTCCTGATATCCATTTGCATCAAGCCTTAATTGCTTTTTTCCTTAGACTGCTGAATCTTGCTTATCTGTTTGCCAGAATGTACACGTGACCATTGTCCTACAGAAGCTGTCGTGATTGGCAAGCGTGTGTATTTATCCGTGGGCTACGGAGTGGCCTTCTTCCTGTTGAGTCCTTGCTGCTGCTGCTTCCAGTGGGAGGGGTTTATAGAGAGTAGTTATTTGGAAAGGCACCTTGTGGTGGGAGTTCAGCCTGGTGTTAACACTTGGAGATTCAAGGCGGTCTCAGATTACACATGCCTTACTTTTTCTTCCTGTAAAACAAGGAAGGGACACCTGTCCTTTGTGCCTGTTATCTACATTCTGAAACCAGTGTGGTGCAAGCTGTTGTTCAGTCTCCTAAAAGAGCCCTTTAATCATAAAAACGGGAGCGGGAACAGGGCATGCACGGCAGAGTTCTGTTTCTGTCCTCTTGGAGAGGGTAAGTAGCCATTTGCACAAAATGATTCAGTTGTTTGCCACCAATAAAGGGTTTTGACTTTAGGTCCCTTTGTCTTCACTTCACAACCGAGGGTTTAAGTTACGTGGGCAGGACAAGCCCATCTGTGTGTGTCCACGGGTACATTGCAGGGCTTCGGATCTTTACAAGAGCACTGCATAACTTGAGGAAGTTCTGGTGCCGTGTCCTGTGCTCTCACTCTTGAAGTTACTGAACAACTTAGAGATGCTTAGAAGAAATTTGTGAGTTCTTTCACGTACCTGGGCACCACGACATTTAGTAGAATCAGCAGCTTCCGAGAGGCAAAGTGTTGTAGCAACAGCATTCAACATAGTCACACTGTAAATTCTAAAGTGCTGGTAGTGTTTTGTTGATTTCTACTTGCTTGGAAACCATGGTCCTCGGACACGTTCCTTTAACTCTCGACACCCCAGCTAAACTATTTGTTAACAGATGAACAGATCATGGAGGATCTGAGAACGTTAAATAAGGTACAGTTTGATTTTTTGATTTATTTGAAAGCTTAGGCTTGATAATGGTTTTGTGCTTTATGATGTTCGCGTGTTACTTGTTAAATCAGTTTGATACCTTTAACGCCTGAAGTTGTATCTGAAATGATTTGTTCTAAGATTTCTTGTTGTTCTTCCTACAGCTTAAGTCACCCAAGAGACCAGGTAAGTGCACAGTGTTACTGGCATTTGTGCAATCTTTTTATCATGTTGTTGGAAAAGCATGCTTACACCTCACAGGGAATTGTTGCACTTTTCAAAAATAAAATGTTCATCATTTGCCTAAGAGCAGTCATCATGAAGACTGAAGGGAACCTTAAGTGCACCTTACCCTGATTTTTTTTTTTTAAATCCTGCTATGTAAAAGCTATTTTTGCCTTTTCCTTCGGATTTATTGTAAAAGAGACAGTTGATTGATCGGCTGGTGAAGGTTCCCTTCTGTGTAGGCATCAGGTACAAGATTTAAGTCTACCTCCATTTCTGGAAATGAAACCAGAAGGATTTTTCAGCATTACTTTCAGGAATTAAGCGCTAGGCACTGCTGTTCCAGTGCCTTCTCATGGCCTGGCTCTGGTAAGGGACTCATAAGTCCCAGCTGATAGAAGAGGCCGGCCCAGTGTTCACAGTGGTTCTTTCCAGAGTGGCACTCGAGAGTCTGTGCTAGGCTGCAAAATAGAATTCTGTATGGGCAAGGCACTGCTATGCTTTAAGCCCTGTGATTACTCACATGTCCCTCTTCTCACCAAGGCTTGTGGAAGGAAACAGGATCCTCTTTTGTCTTAATCGTTTCCTTCTGAGGGCCACCTTCAGGGAGGTTGAAGGCATGATGGGGGGGGGGATGTAAGTGTGTGAATTTAGATCCTTTGAACCACCTGTAGTTACTACCACTATATTAGCTGGACCCTGTACGTGCATGGTAGCCTGCTCTGCCTAGTAATGAATTGTTTGAGAAATGACGTCAGTTTTATAAAGAGATTTTTCTTGCCCTTCTGGGCTTCTGATCACTGGGGTTTTAGTCCTATTCTTAGGGACCTTGGGCAAATCCCTTAGACTGCATCTCCGGTTTCTCCTCTGTTCAGTGAGGTTAACCTTTGCCTTGTCTACCTCACAGGGGTGTTTTGAGGAGCAAGTTAGGCATAACATACAAAAATTTTGTTGAATTCTCCTTTTTACACCCCTGGGGAGTTAATGATCAAGATTATTACCACTTTTTAATAACATATCAGATAAAGCATATTAGCTGGTGGACGCTCATGCTTGTTACATGCTTAGTCACTGAAATATCTTTGGTTCCTTCAGCATCCCCGTCCTCTCCTGAACACTTGCCCGCCACACCAGCGGAGTCTCCAGCCCAGAGATTTGAAGCTCGGATAGAAGATGGGAAACTGTACTATGATAAAAGATGGTATGTTATGCAGAAACACAGATTACTCGTAGGAGTCTCTAAAGAATGCCTTGGAAGTGGGGCTGGGCTCTTGTTGCCAAGCACAGCTGCTGCTTAACTTACATACTACTGAAGCGGGTAATGTTTAAAAGTGTGTCAGGAGTGGGGCCCCTGACTGGCTCAGTCAGTGGGTCAGAAGCATGGGACTCTTGATCTTGGGGTCATGTGTTCGAGCCTCACAGGAGGCGTAGAGCTTACTTTAAAAAAAAAAAAGTTTCAAGAGTCATTTTATCACTAGATTTCTGAATGCAGCGTTTCCCAGAAATGTGTTCTGTTGGGGACCCCCTTCTCTGTGCTTCTGTCATCGTGCTAGAATTTGCAGGCCTCGGTCTTTGGTGCTGCCCCTGTAGACTGAGGCCAGGGCTATGTCCCTCTTTGCCTTCTCTTAATGCTGCCCTTGTGCACTAAATTTAATAGGTGTTCTGTGGAAAAAAGGATTTTGGTGTCAGATAAGTTTGGGGGATGACCACGTTAATTAAGGTAAAACGGTTTTCTTCATTGTGGTGCTCTTTGGGTTCTCGGATATGCTCATGGGCACTGTCAGTTTCTGACCCCAGGTACTATTTTTGCATGCATCATTCTGCTATATGAATGTTCTAGGAGATATACTTGGAGGAGTTGAATCTTAATACATTACCAGTTTAGAGACTTTTTTTTTAAACTGTTATTTGCATAATTTTATTTTTTAGCTGCATATGAGTAGGTATGTTACCTCTGTTTTTTAATATGGCGGAAATAATTTCAGAATAAAGACCATTAGAAACCTTCAAGCCACCATCATTTTTATTGAAGAAGATAGAGTAAAACAGTATGAAAGGGGCTTGCATGCAGACTCCTTCAGTTTTATTCAACAAATGTTACTACCTGCTCTGTAACTAGGCATTCTGCTAGGTGTTAAGCCACCCTGGATCCCTCCTCATGTCACAGCTCCTTTATTCTGATCCCTTTTCACTGTGCGGACGCAGGCATACTCCGTTCACGTCATGGTGGACACAGGTTTGCAGACTTAATTTCCACCTGTTTGTGTGGAGAACGTTATCTGGGGTTATTGTGTGTACTTATCTGTCCTTACCGTTTGTAATGGCTGTCATTTATAGTCTTTTTGAGTTTCAGTGTGTTTAACCCCAAGTCCCAAAATTAGAATAATGGTTATTTAGGATTTTTTGAGCTTTGTTAAAAAACCTCCAAGATTACTAGTTGATTACGGTATATTATTATACTTCTGAAGTTGGCAGAAACTCTTAGAAATGTAGTCATGCCTGAGATAATCCGTTCCACCAAAATACTAAGTTAACAGTGAGTTAATCACCCAGTTGATGGTGAAGGCCTCCCTGTCTGTGAGCCTCATCTTAGTGACTCTGCCCCCCTCATTTGACTATTTGGCTTTCTTCAAAACGCGCAGTCATATTGGATCTTAACATTGCTTATCAGAACATACCACCACTAGGCGGCAGGCCCTAACAGCTCAACACACTGAGGGGCAAAAATAAGATGAGAAATGTTTCTAATAATGAAAACCAAATAACCTTTAAAGATCAAGCCCGCACATAAGAACCATCTTCAAAAATGATGAGATTTATCACTAACATTTTTACGGATCTATGGGTCTTAAAGCTGTGTGATATTTCAAATGATGTTCATTCTGTAATTGCGTTGCTTCAGATCTTTCTGAGGTTTAAGTATTAGACTTTATGAGACTTGAGAGTGAAAATGCAGTTAAAATACAGTTCTTGTTTTTCTAAAGAAGGGATCCACAGTGCCTGGTGTCTCATAACATAAACAGAGTGGTGAGGTTAGATGTGCTAGACCTCCTGAGATTTCTGAATCAATTTTGCTGTCTTTCTCATAGGGGCTGCTGAAATTTTTAAAAGAAGGTTACTGAGGTGCACCTGGGTGATTCAGTCCTTTACGCTTCTGATTCTTCATTTTGGCTCAGGTGCTGATCCTCAGGGTTGTGAGGTCGAGCCCTGCGTTGGGCTCCGTGCTGAGTGTAGAGCCTGCTTGGGATTCTCTCTTTTCCTCTTTCTCGGACCCCCGCTCAAATAAACAAACTTAAAAAAAAAAATGATTAATTACAAAAAAAAAAAGAATGTCTTTGGGAGCATTTTCCTTTTTCAGTGAGTTTAAAGTTGCTTGTAGTTGAGTATGGAGACTTGTTTTCGTCTGAATTCTGTGTTTCTCTTCTTTGGCCTTGGCAGTCAGAGTTGATGACACATTTGTTGGAAAGTGGGTCTCCTTACCCTGCTGTAAGTGGAAGGTGTTCATGGGAGTCCTGGCCAGTGCTCTGACCAGTGTGTAACTGGCCTGCTCTCTCTCTGGACTCTTGCCGTCTGGCCTCTGTCAGGTTGGAGGCTGTCATTCTTCCTTCTGTACAAGTCCTGTGGCTGAGAGGTCAGCTCTTTCCAGAGGTGCAGAGTATTTTGGTGCAACGGTATTTCTGGCAAAACCGGTTTCATTGAGTTTTAAATGACTTCAGCAGAATGAGTGTGATTCAGGCTTCCCATGTCGTCGTGAACACTTATCAAGCTACATTTCGTTTTGAAAGATAAGCATCTTTGCTTTGCCTTGGTCTGCTAGTGGTTTTAAGGCATTTTATGTCCTGCTGTAAGTCTTCCTCACATTTTGATTTGGACTAATGACCCTTCTTAGCAAGTACCATGAAAGTAGCTGATACTTTAAAATAACTAACTAACTGATGGTGCCGGCGGACTGGTTTATCTCTCCTTGCTTTAAATCTGGGGCTGCTGATGTGAATCAGGAACGAAGTCCCCCTGCTTCTTCCAGCCTTCAACCGGCAAAGACCTGAGATGGTGAAGATTTACACCGTGGCGTCAGGGCTCCTTGAGGTTCCAGAGCTGTGCCGAGGCATTCAGTTTTTTGGGAAATGAAATGTTAATATCCGGGTTCCCAGTAGGATACAAAATTAATTCTTCCCCCTCCTTTTTGACCCACATTTTAAGGAAATTGCTCTCTTCCATGATAGTAGTGTTGATTCTAGTTCATTGGGTTTAACAGTAGAAGCAAAGCTCTAAGAGCTCATTTGTCAGGATTCCCAGGTCAGGATTTCCATTAGTAATAAAGTAATAAAGTCAATTTGACTTTGGGGGCCTGTTCTCTGAGGCTGTTTCAAGTATTTTTTTCAGCTGAGATGAGGGCAGCTTGGAAAATGGGTTAATTGGCAAAAAAGTGATAATGTACGCTTTTACTAATTTAGCTCTAGTTGCTGCTTTCTAACAGTTTTTATGTCTAAATTTATTTTCAGTTCTCTCTCTTTAGTCTTTAGAAATTGAGGGAGTAAATTTGTGTGTTGAGGTTGTTGTATACTTTTTAGTTTCATTCTGAAAATATGAATGTTAATTTCTGAGGACTCCCCCCCCCCACCCCAAGAATTCAGATCATTGAATAGATTTCATATCCAGGGATAATCGTTCCCCAAGACCCATCTGGAAACTCATTGGCTTGGCAGTGGACTGTTTTGGAAACCCACAGGCCAGCTCTGCTGTGGAGCAAATGGTGACCATTGATGGACATTCAAGCCACCACCATTTGGTGGTCCCAGAGCAGGCAGATTTGGGAGGTGGCCACATACTCAAGTCCCAGACCCCTTCTGGGGTAGGGCGCAGTGGCAGTGGTAATAGGCCAGATCTCCTTGTTAATGCTGGTCACTGGTGTTGGGGTTTGAGTCCTGTGCACATCTGAAGGAAAACAACACATCTCATGAGGTTTGACCCTTCTCCCAGAGTTAGCTGTTGTTTTTCGTAGACATTATAATATAATTTTATCATTAAGTTTTGTTCTTACCCATCTTTGTTGTTCAGGTATTTTCCAGAACCATGATTTGCTTGATTTTTAACCTAAGTAACACTTGCTTATTTCAGAAAAAAGAAAGCCATGCAATAAAAGGAATACCATTTTTTAAAAATAATTATTTATCTTCAAGTTCGTTACCATACAGTGTAGTCTTGGTTTTAGGAGCAGGACCCTGTGATATAGGAGCCCCAGTGCTCATCCCAACAAGTGCCCTCCTTAATTCCCATCACCCCTTTAATCCCCACCCCTCGCCACCCTTAGTTCTCTGTATTTAAGAGTCTCTTACGGTTTGCCTCCCTCTGTTATTTTTCTTTCCCTTCCCCTATGTTCTTCTGTTGAGTTTCTCAAATTCTACATATGAGTGGAATCATGTATCTGTCTTTCTCTGACTGACTTATTTCACTTAACATAATACTTTCCATCGATGTTGTTGCAAATGGCAAGATGTCATTTTTCATTGCCGAGTAGTTTCATGTATATATATACACCATGTCATCTTTATCCATTGATCAGTTGATGGACATTTGGGTTCTTTTAAAACTTGGCTATTGTTGATAGCGCTGCTATGTATATGATACCACTCTTAATTGACATATTTTTATAAAATTGTAATAAACATTTTATTATACATCTTAACTAGAAATTTACCCAGTTTTTTCTGTGTGTGTGTGTGTGTGTGCATGATACACATGTAACATGCATATGCTTTATGTGTACAGGAACATAATGGACAGTTCTCCCCCCTCCATGTTAGCAGTGTATTCAGCATGTTTCCACACTAGTAACATACTTCTTCACCACACTGTGACCTTTCTTTATTTAAGTATTTAGAAAATAGTATCAGAATGACTGGGGGCTAGGTGTGTGTTGTTTTGTCTTCGTCTTTTAATAACTCATAATCCCTGTAGAATATCTGAATATTCTCCCTGTCTGTATTTTTATTCTAACCATCACTTGAGATGTTACTATTTGCATAGGAAAGTTGGCTTCGATGTGGGAGGGAAACTGGAGGTTTTGAGGGATGCTGTGAGCTAATTCAGCCTTTCCTTATGCTCTGTATACTTCAGACCTTGCGATATTACATATTTAGCATAATGAAGGTCCCCTGACCCAGTTTACCAACTGATCTCTGGCCAAAAGCAACTTTAAAGCTGAGTCTAAACCAATCTCGCTGTTCTAATTGCATTTATGATTCGATTTCTTTTAACAGTGTTTTCAGGAAGTAAATTGAGTTGGAAATCCGAGTTTTCAGCTTCTAAGTAGCAGGTTAAAGAGTGCTTAGAACCTAGATTGGAAAAAGCTCGTTGTGGGAGTGAAATACATCTCTCACAGTGATATCTTGGCAGTAGATTATTTCATTATATCAGCAAAGCAGTCTGCCTTTTTCCCCACACAGAAACAATAAGATGCAGTGCTTTGCTGGGAGATGCAATTTGGTAGAATTTACATGAGTTAGTGGGTTTAGCCAGATCTGTGCAGCCAGAATGAACCAAAGGTTATATTCTTGACTGCCTAGGGCTGGCCCCGACCCGGGTTCCCAGCTGCAGCTCAGCTGACGCTTCCAACTCTTGTTGTAGTCCAGCAGCTGCTCCTTCCTCCTGTGGCAGCTGCTGGGGTCTCATTTGGGCTTTGGCCTTGGCTTCATCACTTTCCTCCTCAGCCTGTCCCTGACTTGTAGAAGTTGAAGGTGGTCCTGTGCTGCAGGCGAAGAGGATCGCTACTGGGGCTGAGATGGAAGGTCTGTCTTGTCTGCTCCACACAAGGCAGCTCTCCTGACTGATCGGGTCCTGACTGATCGGGCCGAATTCGATCCCCTTTGGTACACACCTTGGCGCTCAGAACTTTGCCTGGTTAGTGCTTGCCAGGTGTGATCACTCGGTATTCTTCACGGCCGCTGTACTTGAAGCTGTGTGACATCAGGGACCTTGTGGTCCTTGCACTCTCCACCTCTGACCTCCAGCATACTCACTGGTACACAGTAAGTTATTAGTGAGTATCTGCTGGCTGACCAAAGTGAGGGCTGAATTTGGCCTGCCTTCTTATGGATGACGTATTTGGACACATTGAAAATAGGTTTGAAAAAGTATTCTATTATTTATCTGTGTATTTTGTCCACTGAACCTTCAGTGATTTGGGATGGGCCAGCAAGTGGGAATAGGTTGGGTTTTTTGTTTTGGTTGTTTTTTGGTTTTTGTTTGTTTTGAGAGAGCGAGAGAGAGCGAGCGAGCAAGCCTGAGCTGGGGAGAGACCGAGGATTCGAAGCAGGCTGTGCACTGACAAGTGAGCCTAATGCAGGGCTCAAACTCACGAACCACCATTAGATCATGACCTAAGCTGAAGTCGATTCTCAACTGACTGAATCACCGAGGTGCCCCAGAATAGGTTTTCTTTGAAAAATTGTAATTTACTTTTTGAAATGGGTTTTATAGTCCAAACAAAAAGTAAATAGGTGATGTTAGTTTCCCAGCCTTTCCTCACCCCTCTTTTTCCCTCTGTGGAAGGCCCAAGGAATAGAAGTTTCAGATTTAGGGGAAGATTAGGAGGCCATCTGATCCGATCCAAGGATGGAAGCCTTTAAATTAAAACTGAAATCTAGGCTCTTTCTCAAAATTGGTTAAGAGTGTAGCTCTTATGTGAGGTATTCTTTCTACAAAAGAAAAAACAGCACAGCAAATAATTATAAAGAAGAGGGTGGGAGGAAACGATGGGTATGTTTGTGGTGGTGGTGATTTCACAGGTGTATACTTAACCCCCAAACTCCTCGAGTTATAAACAGTAAATACAGCTTTTTTACATGTCAGTCATGCCTCAGTATGGTGGTTAAAAATGTAAACGAATTTGTCTTGTGTGTGGCAGGTACCACAAGAGCCAAGCCATCTATCTGGAGTCAAAGGACAACCAGAAGCTGAGCTGTGTGATCAGCTCTGTCGGAGCCAATGAGGTAGGGACTGAACTCCCGAACCCTGCAGGAGAGCACAGCGCAACAGACCCGCAGGTGCCGCCCAGAGAGTACAGTGGAACCTGGGGTTCTGTGCGGGTTAGGAGGGAAGTCAGCACTTCAGGCCGAAACCGCATGTAGTCAGAATGACCCCCGAACATCCCTTACTTTGCTGGGCTGACAACCTATGTGGATTTGTATATTCCTGGTGGTACTTGTGAATTCCATGTACGGTTATTGAGTTGGGAACCCCTGAGAGAGACTACAGACCAGAACAGAAGGCAAGTCCGTGTGGTATCTGTGTGTTCACATCCTGCTGCTTTGTAAGGGAACCATGTGCTGAGAATGGAATTTGCTTGTGAGGCTTTTCTCAAGAGCTTTCATGGGTACTGAGACCTTTGTTTTGTGCTGTGAGGATTTAATGAGGCACCTGGCCTAGTGCCAGTAACACACAGTAAGTGCTCAATAAATGGATGCTGGTCTGATCTGAGCCACACACTGTTCCTGCCTGCTGTCTTTACGACTTGACATGTCCCGTTCTGCCCCTCAGCAGTGAGCTACCAGGCTCTTGTCCTTAGGTATTCGTTTCCTTGAGTCTCTCCTGTGGGATAGGGACTGGTTCTTTTTTAAATGTTTTATTTATTTCTGAGAGAGAGAGAGAGAGACAGCGTGAATAGGGGAGGGTAAGAGAGAGAAGAGACAGGACAGAATCTGAAACAGGCTCCAGGCTCTGAGCTGGCTGTCAGCATAGAGCCCGACGCGGGGCTCGAACCCACGAACCGTGAGATCATGACCTGAGCTGAAGTCGGACACTTTAACCGACTGAGCCACCCAGGCACCCCGGGACTGATTCTGAAGTCTGCTCAGAAGGTCATGCTCTAGGATAGTATGATTGATGATGTGAGTTCTCCGACTGGCCCTTCATTAGGGGCATGTCAGCAGTATGTAACTTGTATTGTTAGTAGTTTTGAAAAAGTTTAAAACTTTAATAGCTCGATTGGCTTGATCTTTTATCAGTCCACAAATGTCTGCAAAGAAATTGATTTTTATGTGTCTACCCTCTGTAACTTATTCGTGCCAGTGCACAGTAAATCTAATGAAACTGGATTATGAAATAACTTAAGCCTCTTCCATTCTCCCAGCTTCCTGAATTGAAAATGCCCTCAAATGTGACTAGTTTGCAAAATGATTGTTTACTCAGAAGTTAGGGAGAGCCTTCCAGATAACGAATGTCTTTTTCCTCTCGGCTTGGGGTCTGTGAGTCACTGCCAGTCAGAAGCAGAACAGGGGAATCTGATGAAGAGACATGCTGTTCGTCAGCAAGAGGTGTTGTGACTTCAACAGCCCTTGTGCCCAGCCACGTGACCTTCTAGGACCTAAATCTAACTTCATAACCAGTGCATTGTTCTCCTCTCGAGATTTTTCAGGAAACTAGCAATGCAGGTTACATTCTTTCCTCTCTCTGTTAAAGATTGTCATCCTTTGACATGATAGAGTGTCAGTGAGCTCTGACAAGAAAATGGTGACTATGAGACATGTCACCTGGAGGGGAGAAGCCTCAGTGTATTGGCATGCGACTCCGATAATGAGGAGACCTCTCTCATTTCGTGGAAATATTCTAGCTCAATTTTCAGGTCAGATCCAAAGTGACACTGGAGCCATGTGGCCTTTGCATAAGTTGACTCCAGGCACATTTGGTGAGGGAGTCTGAACCTGGGGGGTCATTTTTCAGTTTAAAGTGCTTTTGCAAGGTCTGAGAGGCTCAGCTCCCTGTGAGGTCTTTAGTTTAAAAAAATTTTTTTTAACATTTATTTAATTTTAAGAGAGAGATCGCAAGTAGGGGAGGGGCAGAGAGAGAGAGAGAGGGAGACACAGAATCCAAAGCAGACTCCAGGCTTCGAGCTGTCAGTACAGAGCCTGAAACAGGGCTCAAACCTACGAACCATGAGATCACAGCGTGAGCCCTAGTCGGACACTGAGCCAGTTGAGCCACCCAGGCGCCCCTAGTTTTAAACCAGTATATTTGACTGTAGAGTCTCTTGTTGATATATAATCACATTAAAGAGACTGAAATGAGACCAAGAACACTTTAAACCCTAGAAACTGCACAGGGGAGGGGAAGATGGGCCTGGAGACCTGGGTGTGCACATACAGAGGAGATGCAAAACTTGCAAAGAATCCTGTGTCTGGCCCCATCTGCTTGCATATCAGTTAAACGGATGAGGAACGGGTGAGAAGCAGAGTCGGGGCTGGTCTTGTGGACAAGACCAAGGGGATTTGGTAGCAGGTGCCAGGGTTCGCACTGGACAAAGTGACTCAGCCTTCCTCTTCTGTAAAATGGGGGTGAGGATAGTACCTTGTGGGGTTGTTCCAAAGATGAGAAAGCTCAGGTGTGTCAGGTGCCTGAGGAGATGGCTTTCTTCCCAGTGCTGGCCGCAGGGGATGACACTTACTGAGTGCCCTTGTCTGTCGTGGCGGTCCCCTGCTGCCAGAGTTCATTCTCGGTGCTGCACAGGAATGCATCTGCCCTGTGAAATGTCAGACATCTGCTACCATCAGTGGGAAAAGAATGTGGTCAGGAGGGAAGGACTGTCTTAAGCTAATTGAGGCTTCTGATGATCCTAATTGGGTCTTAGCTCACTCATGGGCTTTTGTTCCTCCTCTTGTTGTTTTTCTTTTTTTTTTCTCCTGCCATGACCATTGGCCTTAATTGCCAGGAAACCAGAGTAGTGAGAAGCTATAATATGGAAGTCCTTTGGGGCAAGGAAAATATTTCCAAATTTGATTGAAGGTTTATATTTGTGAATACATGTGTTTTGAATGTTGATAATGCTGTAATCAAACCAAATTAAATGTCTTTAAGATCAAGGCAGAAACAGATCCTAAGATCGTTTTCTTAATCAGAGGTGTGAGAGAGGGACAAGGGGGTGGGAGGCAGGGGGTCCAGGGAGCCACCTGCTGTCCTGGGTGGTGGCTGCCTGGAGGAGGGCCACAGGTTAGGGAGGGGCTTTGAAGACCTCCCAGGTGGACAGGAAGAGGCTGCCAGTGTTCCGCCCACATCCCGTTCCTGCAGGTGTTTTGAGGCTCTGGAAGATGTGCTCCTCGGTGTGTGCCATCCGCCCCTCTCACTTGCTGTCTTTCCTTCTGGCCCGCAGATCTGGGTGAGGAAGACCAGTGACAGCACCAAGATGAGGATCTACTTGGGCCAGCTTCAGCGCGGGCTCTTTGTGATCCGCCGGAGGTCAGCGGCTTGACTTTCTACAGTGTTCTTCCCTTGACCTTTTTTCTGGAGTGGTTTTTGGTTTTGTTTTCTTCCAAATAGAACGTTTTTAACCAGGGAATTGCTCCCTTGGCCTTGGAAAATGGGGAGCGGTGTTGTGGATTCCGCGAGGCGCTTTGGTGGCAGCTGCTTCGGCCTTTGCGTTGCTCCTTCCTGCCTTGACCTCTTCCAGCCGCCGTCAATCACCGTGAACTCTTCCTTTTGGGAGGATCGGGAGTTTGACTTACTCGTTTCTTTATTTTTTTGCTTATACTTTTTTTTTTTTTTAAAGCCTTCTTTGAGTTTGAAGGAACTTTTTTTTTAATTAATTATCTTTAGGTCTTTCTACCAGGAAGGGTTACAGTCTACACGGCATTTTCATGAACCTGATTAGTGGATCACGTAGGTCTTTCCGTTGTCGAGCCCAATTCACTGTTTCCCCAGAAGCTTGGGGCAGAGGTCCTAGCAGAAGGAGATTAATTCTCCTGGCTCTCAGCCTTCTCTAAGAAATAAATGCCTCGTGTAACATCTGGCATATGCCATCCATTCCACTGGCTGAGCGACAGAAAAATTTGCCTGGGTGGCTACGTGCACTGAGTAAATGGGGTTGGGGGAGGGGGCATTTTCACGCTCCTAATGTGCTGAAGGTACTGCATTTTAAATGTTACTTAACGCAACTGGTATATTCAAACACGATTGTTCTAGCTCAAGCTGGAATGAGTGGTTGTTTCAGAAGTTTTTATTTCTAATTGATATCTGTTCCCTGCTCCATGTAGCTGGAGTGGCACTTGGCCCAGGCTGGTTATCCAGGTCATCCGTTGTAGGTGGGGAGTTGGTACTGACAGTGCAGTAATCGGTGATCCCTAAGCGCTCACCCATAACCCAGTTTGCACCCTGGTTGCTGATGCCGCTGTTGTTCGCTGACCATTTCAAGCCCGTGGAGCCTTGTCGTCAGCACCCCCAGCCTCCCAGGAGGTCGGGTCCAGCCTGAAGACCAAGAAAGCTCTGCCGTGGCTGCCGCCAAACCTGCACTCTTCCCTAATGATTCCTGGTGAAACGGCCTTCCCTGTGCTCCCTGCTCTCTGCCCCTCATTCCCATCCTCGGAGGAGGGATTCCCTGGTGGATAGGGTTTTCGGGATGGTAGCTGCCACCTTCGGATATTTGAGGAATTTGGGGTTAGAGCAACTAACTGTTAGCATCTCTCTGGGAAATGCTTACTTCCACATCCCAGCATATCTTTGTACCTAATACCCCGGTCTCGGGTGATTCTCCCTGCATTGTCTCTTGATGGACACACCCCAAAGCAAGTTGTGGGCCGTGAAAACCCATGAATCACCCTCTCTTGTAAGTCCTGGCTTCAACAGAGACCAGACCTTACTGACTCAGAGTAAAGATTGTACAGATTCATTTTTGTTTTAATTTATAATTCATTTCTTTTTTCTCCCTGGAGTTGGAGTCTCATTTACAAAACCGGGTAGATGATGCTTGTTTGTTTAGAGTCTGCTGGGTGTTCTGTGCTGCTTCTCTGCCCCCAGCCCCCCATTGTGATGTTTACTGTCATGAACCAAGTCCATAGTACACAGGTGCTTTGTCTTTTGTTCCTTTTTGACAGCCTTTGCTCTCCTGCTTGAATTGTCACTGTGGTATGTGTAACATCCCATAATATCGGGTAGCTGTTACCCTCTAGTGCCCTTGTGATGGAAATACATTCAGATATAGTGTGTGTGGTCATCGAAGTTTGGTTTTTTTTTTTTTTTGTGTATTTGCCTTTGAATGATCGGCTCACGTGGCTGGCTAGCAGCACACTGGTGTGTGGTGTGTTGGAAAGGACTGTATTCAAAACCACTGGGGATTCAGCATCGAAGCAACAAGTTGCCTTTATCCCCCCCTTGTCTGGTGGCTCCGTTGGGCTTTTGTGAAGTAACTGTTTATTTGAAGAGCACGGTACGGGCGCTCTGGCCTTGCCTCTTCTACAGATTTGAGGGTGATGAGGCAGTGCTCTGGCCTTGGCCACTTCACTGCCTTTTGCTTCTCCATGTCCTCACAACCCTTCCTCGTAATGTAGTGAAAATGGGGGCAGATGAGGAGTAGACCTGAGACACAGCACAGTCAATCGTACTCTTAATCCCAGAAGATTTATTTTTTTTATTTCATTACTCCAGAGATGACAAGCCAGCAGTTCAGCCCCTCTGACGGGCAGAGTCCCCTTGTTAGGAGATGGAGGTGCTTTGGAGATGGGCAAAACAGACTTTGAGGTTCCTGGAGTAAGAAGGACTAGCTTGTAGCCCAGGTGGCCATGCTTATTCCAGAAGTTCTTTCTCTCTCCCCAAATTCAAACTGTTTCTTGGAACTAACTCTTTGAAAAAGGTTGATATAGACAACTCTCACCAAGAACCTGCACTTGGGTTACTTGGATCAAGAATCTGTACGTGTATTTTGTTTGAGGCACCGACTCAGTATTATACACAGTGTTTGCTACGGATGTGTCCCGATTATTTATTTAACCTCTGCTTAGAGCCTTGTGTTGCCTTCCTCACCACCTGACTCCCTCTCTCCCAAAGCCAGCGTCCTCTTGAACAGTTTCCAGATGGCCGTAGCCATACCAAAGCCAGGATGTTTTCAATCGTTTGGATTCCAGTATTTATGGATCTCTAACTACCTAACTTAATTTCTTTTTCTTTTTAAACTTCTTACTGGGGCCAGTATAAGATCCCAGAGGCTGATCTGCAAATCAAGCCATTTGTCTTTGTGTGTGAGACTCTGTGTTCAGAATCGGGTGACTTTTCTAAGAGAAATACTGGGAGTGGGGAGGGGTTGGTTACTTTTTTTTTTTAACCTAACATGGAGGAGCAGGGGAAATCCTATTTTTTACAACTTTTGTGTTTGTTTTCCTATTAACATTTCCTTTTATCCTTCAATTTTTACTGAATTTCCTCCTGACTTAAAAATCTTGTTTCTAATCTGGGAATTTGAAATCTTGGTACTTAATGTTATGCCGTTTTTTTTTCCAAAGAGTTCCAACCACTTTAATACCAGAACATGGTAAAAATTTGCAGCCGTTTTCAAGCAGCTGGTGGGCTTTTTATATATCGTCATTAATTGGTACCATTAAATGTTCTGAGAGGTGAATGTAAAATGTAAAAAGTATAGGGTTTTTTTTTTTTTAAAAAAATAACAATAAAGTTTCAAAGAGAAAACCAGCATGTAGTCTGTGTTATATCCATTGACTTGATAAATGATTGAAATTTATTTTAGGCTTTCCCTCCAGCAATTGTGGGAGAAGGAAATCGGGGGGGGGGGGGTATATACTAGATACTTGCCTGCTGTGAAGAGGAAGATAATGGAGTGATGTCAAAGATAGGCTCTCAGTTTTGTGAAGAGCAGTCTAGAGGTGTTGACCCATATATGTGGTATATTCTCTCCTTGTTGGAGATGATCAAACAATTTCATGAAAAGTTGAGTCGATGCAGTTGACCTTAGATAGGAAAAACCTTAAGGTAGACTCGTGTGATTACAGAGGATGTTGCCATTTGGTACTCTAGAGCACTTCTCAGTTTTACCAAAAAAAAAAAAAAAAACCCCCAAAAATCTGGTATTTCCACAGCTCCCTGGTGGGTAAACTGAGGAGGCTGCTAACTCCCATAGGTGGCTGACCTGGTGTGCTTGTGACCCAGGTGTGGCATGCTTATCAGGAAGGGCTGCTCTGTGCTCTGGATGTTGGAGAAGGGTGGTCACTATTTAAAAAAATTTTTATTGTAACATAACATTCGTACAGAAAAGTACACAAATCTTATCTGTAGAAGTTTCCTGAAGGTGAACGTGTCCATGTAACCATCGTCTAGATTAGGAAATCCCACTTCTAGCACCCACAGCCTGAGCAGGCTTCCTTCTGGTTGACAGTGCCAGCGGGGCTCAAGGCTAGCTCATCTGGATTTCTCTGTTTCCATCACCTTAGCCTTCAGGCTCTTGAGTGCCTAGGTCTTTATAGTTGTTCCAGAAGAGCCAAGTCCCTGATGGAGGCTAGGGGCTGGCCAGGGATGTGAGAGCTGGTAGCAAAGGATGTGGTGAAATGGGAAGTGGAAAAACCTTTGGGCTAACTCTCACCCTCCCGCTCGTTGCCAAGGCAAACAGAACTTGCCCTTGATGTCAGCATCTGCCTTTGCGAGGGTTCTTTGTCTACGTCAGGCACTATACTAAACCCTGCGTGCCAGGCTTTTGTCCTTCAATCCTTGTAATCTGTGAAAGTGCTAATTCTCACAATCCAGTTGTTGATATAATTTGTTAATATGTTGTTGATGTATTTGTTAACCTAGTCTAAGACTTGGCTTAATTCTACCCTGAAACCCAGGGCTCCGTACTATGCCTAGTCCTAGTGCGTACTCCGTAAATGTTGTCAGGTACTGTTAGTGTAAAATGATGTGCAAAGACAGGCGGGCTGGTGAATAATAATAGCTCCAGCCCTAGGTACTGTGCCCTTCACTTTTATTATTTCATCGAAGCCTCGTCACAACCCTGGAGAGAAGACACTTGTTATCACCAGTTTTCAGAGGAGGAAACATTCCTTTATCACAGGGATGGTTCGGTAATTTCTCCAAGGTCACATACACCAGATTGCACAGTCCCAACTCTTTCAGATTCTAAGCCAGGCCTCCTAACCACTGCCCTGTGCAGCCTTTTCCCGGCCCCCTTTGTTAACAGTGTATTCAGCATTTCCACCTTTCTCGAGCCCTTTCCTGGGAGTTTGTATTTATCTGCTCTCACCTCTTACAGAGCAAATTTTAGAGGTAAAAATGCTATAATTTGCTAGGACCCTTTCTCCTGGATAACTCTGGGCTTCTTCCTTGGTAATTAAGTTGAGAGAGTCACAGTTACTAGCCAAGAGGTTCCTTTTCTCTGAAACAGCATGGGCAGGCATGTAACAGTTATACAAACAGAGCCATTTAGAATGTAAAGAGCGAATGGTCTTGATGGAGCCGACTTTATCTAATTAGCAGCGTGAGAGCCTTTGGAGGAAAACATTTATCTTTTTTTTTCCCCCCCAGATCACTCTCTTCCTGCCTGCCTTTCTTGTCATCTCTGAAGTAAGCAGGGAAGGGTAGGAGCCATTGAACTGGTTTCTAAAAATGTAGATGGAGAGCTGGACACGCTACATCTTGCTGCTCTCTGGATGTCGGTGGACCTTTTCATGTCGTGTCCTGCTTTAGAGCCACTGAACGAAAGAACACACCAGTTCAATGTCACCTGCTTCAGACTGCCTGCTCAGCTCCAACCAGCAACCTGCATAACAGCCACAGCTAGGGTTTGCAGCCTTTGGAGAGAGGCAGGGATGAAACCAATTTCTGGTCTCTCTTGATAGCGTTAGAGACACCCCTCATCCATCTTTGGTAAAGCTAAGCACCTTCCCTGCTTTTAAAAAGGAGACAGTAGATGGAATGCACTAGAAACATGGACACCAGCTCAGTCCCTTTGGACATAATGACATGATGAGAAATATATTAGCTTTAGGAATTTTAGTGTTTACCAGAGTAGATATTCTTGTGAATAGCTATGATTATTAAGACGAAAAGATATGTATGTTTAGAATGATCCCTAGGGGAGTGAGGGAGATAAGATACAATATAGGTACCTAGACACTTAATCCCTTTACCCATTTTTCCCTAATCTGTGTTTGCTCAATTCTCTGAAAGATACAGATCTATAAAATAACAAATACTGATACGAGAAGACCAATAATCAGAATCTGAAAGACTCTCTCCCCTGTTTCTCAGAAGATGGAAGGCTGACTCAGTAGTGTGCTTTAGCTTTCTGCAGCCTGATGCTCCCGTCTGTTGGCATCATCTGCCTGCCCGCTGATGGTATGAATGGGTGTGGGGTCAAAGTAGGCGAGATTAGGAACACCTGGGTGGCTCAGTCGGTTAAAGCATCTGACTTTGGCTCGGGTCATGATCTCGCGGTCCATGAGTTCGAGCCCCACATTGGGCTCTGTGCTGACAGCTCAGAGCCTGGAGCCTGCTTTGGATTCTGTGTCTTCCCCTCTCTCTGCTCCTCCCCCACTTGTGGTCTCTCCCTCCTTCTCTTCCTCCCTCCCTCCTTCTCTCCCCACCCCCCCAATAAATAAACAAAACAAAAAGGAGAGATTCTAGAGCCAGCTAAGAAAGCAGTGCTCATAGAGAATAAGCAGTTACTGAAGGTAATACAGTGGCCTCAGGTTGGCAAGTCTCTGCATATAATTAAGAATCATTTTTTTTTTTTTTAACATGGATTCTTTTAAGAAGTTTTTGGGTGTTTACTGAGATGCAGTGTGGCATAGTGGCGGTGTGAGAAAAGCAAAAGCTTTGGAATCAGTATTTGAATCCAGCTTTAACTAGCTGCTGTGTGACTTGAGGCAACTTCATCTCTCTCCCCCTCAGTTTCCTCATCTGTTAAATATCCACCCCAGAGTGTGATTTTGAGGATTCTATTAATGTATATAGCATTACTATATGCTAAGCAGTTTACCCGTATTAACTTACTGAATCCTTGTAATGACCCTACGAGGTAGCTACTATTACAAATCCTCACTTTGTAGGTGAGGGAATTGAGAAACAGGTTAAGTATCTTGCCCAAGGTCACCTAGCTAGTAAATGGTGAGCCAAGATTCGAAGCCATCCCTCCAGAGCCCTTGCTGTCATTGTTCTCTCAGTCACCATACTCTGCTTTGAGGGGGACGTAACACAGGACTGGATCTGGGGAGTGCCCAGTCTCTGGAAACTGTCCCTTCCATCGTCACTACCGCTGCCCTCTATCTTTTCTCTGTCCTCGGATGTTAATCTGCAAAATCCTAAGAGACCAGAATGATTTCAGGAAGCTAGTTGAGTGCCAGGAAACAATGAAGGTACAGTTGGAAGCCTTAAAGATCACAGAAGCGTCAGCTCCTACAAGTGGGTTGGAATGAGTGCCCAGCCCATTAGGTTGAGGACGATTCTGAAGCCCAAATTGGGCAGAATGGGAGGAGCGGCTTAATCAATTAGTTTTGTTGCTGATTGAGTTTGACCCCTTAATTTTGAAGATGAAAACCTCTAAGGCCCAGAGACGGTAAATGATGTGCCCAAGTTCATATAGCTGTAGGCAGAGAGGTGGTGGGGGTCCTGTGTTCCGGTGTGGCCAGTCGTTAACCCAGGGACATTTACTTAATGTCCGTGTGCTTCGTTGTTGGGGCACACTCACCCTAGCATGCCTCGGACCTTTCCCATTTTAGCATTGATAATCTTGCATCCCAGGAACCATCTGAGACCCAAGCAAACAGAGTCAGTTGGCCACCCTGCTCAGTTTCTGCCTCTGTTATTAAGTAGGGATATGAATTGGCATTCTTCCATGGAGTTGCTGATTTCCATGGTTTATGTGATTTCTTCTAAAGCACTCAGAAGTAGTGTTTGGGACATAGTAAATCCTCAGTACATGTTGGTGATATATTGTTTGTCTTGTGTTCATTATTATCG